TCAATTTGAAATATTTTTATCACCTGTGGTTGCATTGCGGCCTGCATTAAAAAAAAGATTGGAATTTTTTCACTGTAGACTTAAAATGAAATTTAGCTGTTGTGCAACTTCCAGCGATTTTTTTGGCTTATACAGGGCGTTTTTTCCAGTTGTCAAAATGTTTGAAATTTCCAATTTTAATCCTGAAAATTCCCAAAAATTGTGTCAGTATGACTTGATGTCCAAAAGCATAAAAACATAAAATTTGAAAATTTTAAGTAGATTAAGTGGGAACTTGAAACTGAAAAATATGCAAAAGATAATAATGAAGTATGCGAAAAAATTTAATGGAATATCAATATTTTATTTTAGTGCAAGTCATAGCACAGTTCTTAGCACAATTTGAGTATTAAGAGCTTTTAGTTCATTTGTCCTGGAAGAACAGAGTGAGCAAATGAACTGAAATTGTGCACATAAGTAAAAACAAGAATGCAGTGGATCGAGTCCTTTTAAAACCTTATCATTTAAGTTTATATCAATATATTAATAAAGTCTTGTGCTTTAATTTGCCATACATTTGGTCACAAAAAAACACAATCATGTATATTTCAATAAGCATCATCGAATATGATGATGTCATAATTATGTACAACAAGCAGTCTTTGATGCAACAATAGACATAATCATTTCTCACAACAAACACGAAAGTTAACAACTGTGGATAGACTAGACATTATATATGTATACTATTTCAATAGATAGTCATAAAATATGCAAAATTGATTTGAGCACATAAAAGTTCCAGACATAGTTATGATTTATTATCAGAAAATAGATTTTCCTTCTGCACAAAATATGATTATTGTAATCATTGTATGTAAGGACTTTTATATAAAGATATGTTTGAGATAAAACTTCCTTTTAGTTGAATGCTTATAACCTTTTAGTCTGACAACTTATAATTGATTTTGTACCAAAAAATGTGATGTATTTATGATAAAATCGTCAGCTGTAAAAATTCGTTTTTTAAATGTCAAAAGTAATGTTCAGTTCCCTGCTGAATTTATATTGATTTGGAACAGTTTTGTTTATAACGATAATGAATGGATCTAAGTGTGGTCGTTTTTGTCTTAAACTCGGCACAGCCTGAATCGAACTTTGAACAACTAGCGATATTAATATTTGTTTGAAAGAATACAGTTTGTTATTTTCTTGTCTGCTAACCCATATGGGCAACTGACACATATTCTGCTGAAACTGAAGATAGCCTTTGTAGTTAGTACTTCTGAAATATAGAAATGTTTAATATTATCAAAACTTTTTTTTTTAAAAATGTATCTTTTTTACCACTGGGAAATACTGGGATAAAAATAAAAAAGCTATCTTGATTACATGTTATGTAACCAGTTGATGTAGGCTGTGAGATAGAAGCTGGAGTATCATACATAACAAGTGTTTTACAATAATTTCTTCCAAGATAAAATAAATCTCTCAGCAGACATTAGGCCTAAAATTTCAAGAAGTGGCAGGTATGGATTTTTCATTTGAACATCTATAATGATGTATCTCTAGGGATGTGAGTCACTAGTGTTTGCTCTCTCTCTCTCTCTACTTGTGAAACACTCCGCATTTTGATGTTGTGTAGTGTAGCAACCAAAAATACAATATCGTAATTCCAGCATGTTTCAGCAATTATGATATGAATTAGTAACATTAATGAATAAGTGAAATCAATTTTTTTTCTTCATATGAATTAGAAGTACCTATTGTTGTAGGATTTATATGTATTGAACATATATGAAATGAAATAAGAATAAGATACAAAGTAAATATAGCAACACCTATTTTATGAATTACAATATTATATTGAAGAAGCATTCAGCCTATTGTATATTATAAATAGCAGAGTTTAAAATGTGGAATTAAAGATAGATTTTAAACTTTGAATAGCTGTTAATTGTAATTTGAGAAACATATTTTGACAAGATGTTCCCAATTTGTCATATTTTTACCAGATCTGGCAAATAAAATTTGAAAATAAAACTCGCCAAATATCAACAAAAGATTGAAATAAAGATTGTAAGTGTAGGACTGTGTTATTTCTTGCTTTCTGTTTGGAATAAAACTGTTAAAAAGAGCTTCGTTTGCACTATAAAGTTTTAAAACTCTGGTGTGCTGAAAACAAATTAAGATAGGAAAATCAAAATGTTTAAAATAAAAATGTCAAGAAAATACTGTTTTCCTGAAATTTCCACATGAAAAAAGGTTTACAGCTTTTCAGTTCCTGTTTTAAAAAAGTCTGGAGTAAGGAAAAGTGAGGAAGCATGTTGTGTGTGATTGTTATACCTACATTATTTAATCTATTTTGTATTCACTAGAAGTATTGATTGGTGAGCTCTAAAAGCTTTTCAACCTTGAGTCATTAAAGGCAGCTCTTAACGAGAACCCATAGTGAGAATCCCTACGTTCCTATATATAATATTTGCATTTTATTCCTATACACCATGAGCAGGCAATATGCTGTTGGAATGTCTTCAAGTAATGAAGGAATCTGGGAGCGAAGATCATCATGGGTTATTACAGAGCTTAAATTAGATTCGATTTACATACTTGTACTGATTAATGGCATTATTTCGTGCTACAAAATAACAATGAGGTAATGCAGTCGTACTGTAATAAAATAACTTTTACCTGAATCTGAAATTATTTATAATGTTTGTACCGAATTAAAATTTGGCAGATACTGAGAATCAGGTTTATACATTTTGTTTCTTGGAGTATTTTTAGGTCGAGCTTTTGAACAATAGTGCGACTATCCCTCTCAGCCTTGTGTCTGCGTAACACTTGGTTATGTTTTTATATATGCAACTTTGTATCTCATTAACCACAGAATTTATTCACATATCCTCAAGATCATAATTCCTGATTAAGGTTTTTTTCATGCAGGTTTTATCTTCATGTGTTTTCCTTGGACAAATTAATTGTTGGTAATTGACTTAAGTTTTGATTCTTAGAAAAAGCTCATATTATACTGGCATTAAACTGGTCCTTGTTATACTATCAAGCACTGAGAATAGCCAAGCTAGCTGCTATAGCTTCTTGGGAGATAGAACATATGTTCAGGTGTTTTGTTTATTGATGAAATGTTAATATGCAATCACTATACAAACTAGAAATGTGTCATCATGCCACGGATGCCCCCGCATGCAGCCAAAATTTCAGATGGTGCATTATTTTTTTTTTCATTTTAAGTTCAAAGCCCTTAAAACTTTTCAATGTTAACACAAACCATTTTCATACACTGTTCAAGGCACTGAAATTATTCAGTCTAAACCTTTTAAAAACAGCATATTGCATATTTGTAGCCAAAATAATGGCTAAAAGTATGAGTGCTGAAACTGAAAGTTCAAAATTTTTCCAACATTCAGGAAAGATAAGTTTGTCTAAAATCATTGAACCACAACCAAATTCAAATTTAAACTGCTTATTTCTAAGATGTATCTATATTATTTTCAAAGTGAAAGGGACATAACTCTGCCAAAAAATCATCAAACCATGACCAAATTCCAACTTGACCTGCCGATTCCTTTGACATATCTATATGTCAAATTTAAGTTGAATATGTAACACTGTTGGGTAGATAATGAACAGAAACTGTAAATTTCATATTATTTTCAAAGTGAAAGGGGCATTAGTCTGCCAAAAATCATTGAACCATGACCAAATTCGAACTTGGCCTGGGCATTTCAAAAACATATCCATATGTCAAATTTGAGTTGAATGTGTTGTACAATTGGGGAGATAATAAACGGAAACTGAAAATTTCATATTACTTTCAAAGTGAAAGGGGCATAATTCTGCCAAAAATCATTGAACCATGACCAAATTTGAACTTGACCTGCACCTTCCTTTGACGCATCTGTATGTCAAGTTTGAGTTGAATGTGTTGTACCTTTGGGGAGATAATGAACGGAAACTGAAAATTTCATATTATTTTCAAAGTAAAAGGGGCATAACTCTGCCAAAAATCATCAAACCATGACCAAATTCACACTTGACCTGTATTTTCTCATGACATATCCATATGTCAAGTTTGAGTTGAATGTGTTGTACCTTTGGGGAGATAATGAACGGAAACTGAAAATTTCATATTATTTTCAAAGTAAAAGGGGCATAACTCTGCCAAAAATCATCAAACCATGACCAAATTCACACTTGACCTGTATTTTCTCATGACATATCCATATGTCAAGTTTGAGTTGAATGTGTTGTACCGTTGGGGAGATAATGAACGGAAACTGAAAATTTCATATTATTTTCAAAGTAAAAGGGGCATAACTCTGCCAAAAATCATCGAACCATGACCAAATTCGAACTTGACCTGTATTTTCTCATGAAATATCCATATGTCAAGTTTGAGTTGAATGTGTTGTACCGTTGGGGAGATAATGAACGGAAACTGATATTTCATATTATTTTCAAAGTAAAAGGGGCATAACTCTGCCAAAAATCATCGAACCATGACCAAATTCGAACTTGACCTGTATTTTCTCATGATATATCCATATGTCAAATTTGAGTTGAATGTGTGCAACCGTTCTTAAGATAATGAACGGAAACTGATGATGACGGAATGACAGAATGACGGAAGGACGGAAGGACGGAAAGGACGGAAGGACGGAAGGATGGAAGGACGGAAGGACGGAATGACGGAACAGGGTAACACTATATGCCCCGGCCATTACATGGCGGGGGCAAAAAATTTGCTTTTGATTATTAATGCCATGTTTTATACAAATTATTTAAAAATGTTACTTGAGGTATTGTAATAGTTAATTAAAGTACCAAATGGGAAGTTTACCTTTCGATATTTGCATTTAAGCATTGATGAAGTGCATTGAAATATGAGGCTATCTACTCGTACGAGGCAGCGTACCCTCAGAGATAAAATCAGATTGACGCATATTTTGACCATTTTATGTAAATCCTTACAGAACTAAATACTATCATATATATTTCAGGACCAGCAATAGCGATGGACCCTCAGGAAGCTGCTCAAGCTGTCTTTCCTTCCATGGCACGACCATTACAGAAATATCTACGCGTAACACGTCAGCAACCGCGCTACACGATGGAGTCAGTACTATCGCATCTTGCTACGTGTATAAGTCATGATCTCAATCCTAAAGCGTTTATTGAGCGCTACCTCACACAGGGTGTCGTTATCATGAACAGTAAAGATTATAAAGATACGCAAAAATGGGTGTTAGTTTGTGATCAACTTCTTACACGTGAGATTGAGCACGGTACAATATTTCAGCTGCGACAAAATGACGTGTCTTTATTGTGTTCTGTTAGAAAGTTGCCTCATTTTAATATAACGGAGGAAGTTATAGACCCAAAGTCGAACAAGTTTGTTTTAAGGCTGAATTCGGAAACCTCTGTGTAAGGAATGTTGCGTAACCATAGATGATTATAATGTGATGCCATTTTTGTACAGTGATATTGAATCAAAACATTACAGTGATAATGCTAGAACGTTACAGATGATGAATACTATTGTCTGGATAGGAGAGTTTCTCAGCAGCTCTATTTAAAGTAAAGAATGTAAGTGTATGAGTAAAAAGTTTAAGATGGAACAATGATCATTTACATTGCTGTACAAGAACCGTCCTTGCTTATCAAGGAGCAATGAAAAGAAAAGATTATTGGGGGAACGTTGCTAGTGACCAAACAAAGACGATACAAATAGTAATCGTTAAAATATAACATTAAAAATGAAACTGTGTAAGATTGATATTCACTGTATAAATGACTAGAGTTGTGTATAAATGAATACATTAATTGTAAGATTGTTAATTAATGGTTTTAGATATTGACCAAAGGTTTCATTTTTATAAGTTGTGTAGAAATTTATCATATTGATGTGTAACTGGAAGTAATGCATATGTTGCATATATGATATTGTGTAAGTGTTGTGAATTTTCTATATGTCACATATAGCTTGTTTTATGTCATGATTATTTTTGTCTATTGGTGCTTTATAAATGAATATCCATATTCATATTGGTGTTTTTTTATAACTGTGTGACAGTGGTTAACCTGACCAAGTATTTCCCTCATTTACTATATTAGATTTTTATTTTATTTTGAAAGACAAAATGCTTGAAGAATTATTTTGCATCCTGTCTAATGGATATAGTTTAGATATTGAAGAAAAAAAATAGGCATCAGTCAATAGATTTGTTAAATTGATTTTAGGTTATAAGATAAACGTTGGATAGAAGGTACATTATAAGTATACTTTACAGGGAGGTCAGGGTGAAGCATCTGAAAACTTTAACTTTAATCTCAAGTGTTTATGTTCAGCATCTTACTAAGCTTGTTTTAGTCCCTACTGCTTACTTTGATTATTTTTAACGTTTAAAATACAGGCAAATAACAAGAAGATAGGTTCAATTATTTTTTTACCAGACGTTAAAATTTCCTGGCAATCCACTGATGCAGCATGTGCAAACACAATTTTCACTCTATATCTGTGTTTCTATAAATGTTTTACTAGTGATATTTTAACTGTTTTATCATACATTGGGTCAGTAGCCAAACTTGTTTTTTTTCCTAAGCACGAGCTGGCGAAATACAGAAATTTGTATGAGCATACATTATTCTGAATTTTTATCTGGATCTGTATCTCTATTTAAAAACTTTAAATTCAGCACACAAAAAATTACCTTGAAGAAACATTTACTTTACACTTGTTAGTTCCTTCACATAGATCACTGGTCATGACCAAAGTTGAAAAATTATCACCTCACCACTGTTTAATGTGTAAGTTTTGATAAATATGAAACTAAGCTGTTTCTAACATTGACTGTCCTTATGTATAATCACTTTTCTTAATAAAAACATACATAAAACATAATACAATGTTAGTAGAACCATACATAGATCCATGGTTAAAAGGGAGTTATCAAAGTCTTCTACCAGTAGATTGTACATAAAAATACATTCCAAAAGAACATACAATAAAGTCATGGTTATAAGAACCAAACATTAACCCATGATTAGAAAAAAACATACAAATAGAACCATACTTGAATCCATTGTTCATAGGTTTAATATACTGAATATAAAGCCATGATAAGTAGAATTTTACATGAAGTCATGGTTGATAAAACCTTAGTAAACAGAAATCCATGGTTTGACCCAACAAAATGATTGTAAATAGTCATGACCTTACAAAATACCATCATTTTATATGGAAATATTAAAGTATTTAATTACTAGGCTGCTACAATTCTGTGCCATTTTTTATCAACCTTTTTTATATTTTTTTGTTATACATGCAATTTGTGGTGTTGTGAAATATTTCAAAAATAACAATTTTTTATTAGACATAAAATTTCTGGTGTTGTGAAAGTTTACAAAAATACAAAATTTACCCATTTTACCTCAAAAGGTGTTGTGGATTCTGTTATATGAAAATTAGAAAAGAAATTTTCTTAAATGTTTTTCTTTTTATTATGGGGGGGGGGATGATAATGTAGGTTACAACTCACAATAGCATAAAATTATTCACTTTTGATTATTTGTAATTCATTTATTTTTTTACAGTTTGTTTAATCAAGTGTGTTATGTTTAAGTACCAAAAAAACGTACACTATGCCCTGAAAAATGTCTCTCTAGTATGGTATGTTTACTTTGATTGAAATTTTTAGTATATCCCCTCAATAAAGTTAACATTGAGTTTCAGGCTTTCATTTGACAGCATCTTCCATGTTTATATATTTAGTTTTATGGAGACAAACAAAAAAAAACTATAAAGATATACTTATAAAATTTGCATTTGTATACAGCTGAAATCTTTAAATATTAAAGTAACATAGAAATATTATGTTCATTATTACATATATTATAACGATATCATGTTTTCATATTGTTAACTGCTTCCTGAAGAGAGAAAGTTTTAAAACTGCCTTAGCATTGATCTGAAAAATCATCTATCTCTCCTGTGGAATGTTTATATATTCACACTATCACAGTACAGTGTTTATAATCAAGTAAGATCTTTTCCTCTCATTATGTAAATGCTATGTAATGAAATATGTGAATTTGAGAATTGTGTCATAGGTGATTTGTTTACAAGCGCTATGTTTATGGATGCATTTATAAATCAATGTATTGTGTACCTACATACTGCAACAGTCATTTTGATACGAACCTGTGTTAAGCGTCACCTCTAAATAAAGATTTGTATATACACAGACAGGGTTGACCGTAATCCATGATTTTGATCACTATATTTTATTGTAAGAAATTTTAACATTTTACTCCTTAACCTGCTGAATTTGTGAAATAGATTTTCCCTGCTTTGAATATAAAATGTTCCATTTTAAATTAAAGGGATTTCATGGGGAAAATGTAAAAATTGACTTGCATACAGTATAGAGACTGGTCAGACTGCACATATGTCTAGGCTGGCGAGTCTCTATACTGGTGGCAATGGCTGGTCATTTTCTCTTCTAACAGTTATAAAAATAACAGGACAATAAATTAAAAACAAATAATAAGTAAAACTATAGGGAATTGTTGATGATAAATTTATTGTTGATGTCAAAAAGTATAAAAAACAAATCTTGCATTTATACTCTTGTCAACTTTTCTCTTTATCATTTAAGTGGAAATATGACGTTTTCTTTTAGACAGCTATTAACTGTTTGTAAATAGATAATTCAAGCTAATATCAGTTTTGATAAAAATGAAGTGGATAAAATCATTGAAGACTATTTTTATCTTGTTTATATGTGACACATGACCTATTTTGTATGATAAATAATGAAGGAAATCATGTAAGCCATTCATATAATTGTAAGTATATTTGTCCATTGCATATGATTGTAATAATAAAAGGAATTAACTTTACACAGTGTTTCAACAAATGATTAGTTATTGGTTGGAATATTTTGCATATCAACCAATAAAAAGGTTGTTCTCATGTACATTGGTTTTTAGTTTCCAATTTTTCTCACCAGACAAATACATGAATATTGACTGTAAAACTTATTTTTAAACTACACCTTACAATAAGCTGCTCTTGTTTTCTCAAAACTTAAATTTCATGTTCATGTTTGATCATTGTAAACATTTCATATCATATATTATAGAATTGTCCCGGCAGAGATATGATATATATATATGTAAGACGGTCTTTTTACGAGTTTCGAGAAAAAATCATCGTGGAGAATTTTTATTACAATTCTCAGTATTTAGTTGTGACCAAATAATTTTTGTATGCAAAATATACATATTTTCTTTTTTTTTGTAAAGTTGAGTTGCAATGATGTTTTGTAGATCTTTTTTTTTTTTCCTTTTGTAAATTATTTTTGTCATTAAAATTTGGTAGAAAAAAACTAGTTTTTTTTTGTTATTTTTTATGAAAAGCTTAAATATAAAAAAATGATAATGGGGTTCCCCTTTCTTTCCCCAAACCCAAGGCTAAAAAAGGTTTTGGGTTTTTGGGGAAATCATTTTCCCCCTAATATTATTTAAAGGGAAAAAAAAATTCATGGAAGGAAGCTATGACACTTTCCAACTGGAAACTTGGTATCTAAATATTGCATAGACTGGAATCTTGGGAATTCCTTCCATTGAAGCTTAAATGTTGTTTTGTTAGATTGTTGGGGTTATGTTTATATTGACATAAAGGTTAATGTGATCAAATGATTTAAAAATTTTTATGAACTTTTACAAAAACCCCAGTTTTATGATAAATTTTTTGTGTTCTGCCCCATAACTCCCAGCTTTGTAATTCAGTCATATTACCTATAAAAATTTTATAAATTGTGGTTTTTAACTCAGGGGAATTTGATTTTGATATATTTTTCCGACAAGCTGTGAAAGATACAAAAAAATAAATACACTCTAACTCGGTAAAAAAAATTTAAGATAAAAAGTATGTTTTTAAAAAAAACCAAACTTAAAAAACGAAGGTTCATTGTTACCTATGCATTTTAAAATGATACTGTAAAATTACTAAGTTTTTTGTTTTTAAGATATAATATAGAATAAAGTTGAAAAATTTTTATGGGTGGTTGAGGTATTGTTTTACCGAAAAATGGGTCTTTTCTTTCTTTTTCTCGGTTGGTTTAATTCGCATCAATACTTTCCAGCTTTACTGGCAGAGGAATCCCCTCAGTGTATTATTTCAGGCGCGAACAGGCACCCTTGTAGAACCACTAAGGTTCTGTAAACTACCCGGTTAGCTTCCTCAACATAGGTCTGACATTATCGTGATTCAAGGAGTTAATAAAAGATTTCAATCTAATCAGATATGTACCACTTCAGCAAGTCTTAAATCATGGACGTGTTTTAATTGTGACAGTACAAATGATAGTATTGCATGTCAGACTGTAATAACATTCTTCAGCTAAAATACAGAGCGATGGTATCTTAAGAAATCGGTGATTTGATGGAAAAACATATGCAATGTTGCCATTCATGTTAGTCCTTCATTCGTGTAATTAAAAACCACAAATATAAAAAACCACAGAATTTAGAAAGTGTCCTATAATTACTTCTTTTATCATTGAAATAAGATAAATTACATCAATTTTAATAGAATACAATATACAAAATGAATAATCAAAAATATGTTATAGAATGATTTTGCATTCTTATGCTGATTTATTTTATCTCAACAACATGTATGAATGAATTTTATGTTTCCTTATTAGAATATTGATTGTTGAAAAAGTTAAAAAATTGTTTTAGAATGGAAATTTTTTTAAGTGAGTCAGATGCTGTATTCATTATTAAGTAAGTTACTTGCAGATCAAGTTAACAGATCATTATGGCTAATAGTTATATGGTCACTGATTATAACATTTAACCTACTGAATTCATGTAATAGATTTCTGCTGGTTATATGGCTGTATGTAAATGGTTGTTTGCAATATAACCCTTGCCAGTAGCAGCTCGGGTTATGTATACAAAAAAACAACATTTTAATAGGGCCATATAACCTGTCACTAATAATATGAAGTGGTCCTTCTAACCGACATGTAACAACTACCCCCTGTTAGAGAGAAAGTTGATAGCATGTCCAGCTCAGCTTGACTTGTCATACATTCTATATACAATCACACTGAAAAATGATTGATTCTGTGATAATGAATACTTAAATCAAGGAAAAAACATGTACTAAATTGATTTTCCCCCATTATTTCAAGTGTAATTGGATGTTTTACTATATTTTGACCAATATTTGCCATCATTTATAAATGTATATACCATACTTAATAAGAATGAACTTGTACTGTTAGTCACTTTCATGGTTCCATGATTCATCAGTTTTGATGACAAGTTTGTAAGTAACTTCTACCAATTTGGTTAATGAATTATTCATTGAAAATACATGTACAAAATCCTGACTCTTAAGACACATGGGAATTTAGCAAAAAAATACATTCCCATTATAATAACAGAAACTTTGGTTTTGTCATTGTAATGGTAGACTTGATAATTAATTTTGACACGTACATTTCAATAAACTGCACTTTCAATCTGACATTGACTGAAATATTTAGGTCATCCATATAACATACTGCAATTTCTTTTATCATTTTCCCCTAATAATTACTGCCGTGTAAATAGTTTCAATAAGTCTATAAGGATAATTTTATTGATGACTGGTCAAACCCTTTGTTAGTATTTTTTGTTAATCTATGCACTATGTAACTCGTGTCAAAATCAATTACCATCACTGCTTTAAATGTTTCATACCAATACCTAGCCCAATAAATTGTATGGCAGGGCTTTTTATTATATAAATGATGGTTATCCTTCGTAAAGACTGACATCTATGTAATATCAATTTTGACAGGTCGATCTTGCAGTCGAAATATTGAAACTAACCAATCCCAGTGTTATTTGTCAACAATAATACTGTATCAAACCAAACAGATTTCCAATGTTGGATTTGTTTACACTTTCAACTGTTCTCATGCTCCGGGTTGTTGTTACACAGTGTATGATGTGAATAACCAGTTAACCGGATAATTTCTCATTAATGTTACTCAATCGTACTTTTGAATGAATTTTCTCATATTGCACTTGACATGATGAATTAATGTTGGCTAACAGATCATTGAAATCATTTGGATAATACTAACTACTTCAGTCACTCCCAATATCAATCTGTTATCTTCTATAATTTGCTCTTGAAGATTTTTTTTGTCTTGTTATAACTGTCCATTACTATTATTTCTGATAATTTATTTTTCTTGAGAATGTTTATTGGTAAATTTGAAGTAGTTCTAAATTAAATTTTAAAGCTGTTGAACAGCCTTGCACTGTAACCTTTTCATTGATTGGCCATAAAGTATTCTATATACACAACATATGTAAACATTCAATATTACATTAATAGGGTGGTAGCTAGAAACATTCACTTCTGTTTATCAACACATTTTGTGTTGTTGAGAGCACAAGAGATAAACAATAACCCTGAACCACTCTCCTGATTGTAGCCTTATCAAATAGATCATTTAACTAAAAATTTCAGCTCTACTAAGGCTTTGTAGTTTCTGAAGATTTAAAACATTATTTTCTATATTTGTAACAAACATCGCCACAAGTAGGGGTTTTCTTGACTCAAAGATAATGACTTAGGTTCTTTAAGTGAAGGTCAACTACTACTAGACAATGCGCCATACGATGTATCTCAGTTCCACCCTAAATTGTTTAAAATTTGATTTTTGTGACCCCTGAGGCTGGGAAATATATCAAACTAAGGTGCAGAATTGTACACATTTTGCAATGGACTATCAAGTGGACCTTCTAACAAGACAGTGCTTATGTTCTCTTTTTTACTACACATGTATTATGTACACATGACTTCTTTGGCAGGGCTAAATTTTATCTTTGAAGGATAATTTTCACTATATTGGTGGCCCCACGTCAGCATGTATCACACAAGATATCTAAGCTCCAGGTAATGTAATTTCAGATTTTCAAAATTTGTTTTTCTGTATAAATCTATATAAACACTCCTATGAAGTAAAAAAAATCCTGTTATTGGTGGATTATTAGATTTCACTTGTACAAGGCCTCATTCTGTATCTTACTCTTATTTTTTGGGTTGGGTTTTACATCTCACCAACACACTAACTATCTTATGGCAACTTTCTAGCTTTACTGGGTGAGGAAACTTGGGTGCTCTTTTGTGCATTATTTCCGGGATGAACAGGAACCCTAAGTAGAACCACCCAAGTTCCACAAGCTAGCACAACTGCCTCACATAAAAGAATCCAAAGTTTGTGGCCAGCAGTGAGAAGCAAGTGATGCGAAGTAAATCATCTTAATCACTCGGCAACAGAAGCCACTTTCTATATCTTACCACAGACACTGATGTTTGTATAACAGTTAGTTAGCCTACCATCTAACCATATTTTATATATTGTCATATGTTTGACACAAAACTTGAAATCTTCCAAGCATTATTATTATTCAGTCCAAGTTAAAGAATCAATTTTAAATACTATACCACAAACATTTTCATAATTTTACATCAAAATTTGTAAACTATACACATGTTTATCAAAACCCTACAAAATGATGTTAGCATTTTATGCTTATAACCATCATAAAAGTTGTATATATTTTCACATAAAAACAGTGGTATAATGAAAAACATAACAGAGACTATTTATAGTTTTGATATTACTTTTTTATTGCACATACATATTAAATATTTATCATGTCAAGGGGATATAACCCTATATAAATACATTATAACCTATCAGTGATAGTACATTATATGAGTGAAATGAGTCATGACAGAAACAGGTTAACAATCTCAGTTACAATACTTCAAGTATAAGAGTAAAATACTCTTCTAGTAAAGCGTCAACATCACTAAAACTACTTTCAATGTTAACTCTCAGCACAGTCAGATACTTGTAATTTGTTACAATACAGGACTAGTACTATCATAGTCTCTAAACTTTATCTGTTTTAACCCTTAACCTGCTGAATCTCTTAAATAAACCAGCTCCCAGATCGGAAATAGACCATTTATCAATTTTCAGGACATCAAGTTGGTTAGCCAATAGGATTGAACCTGGCCGGCTCTAAAGTGGTGGCAAAAGTTTCAGCAGGGTTAGGATTAAAGCTTATCATTTCTTTGAAATAAAAAAAACAAAACAGTTTTCTGTGAATGTAACAAATGTGTGAACTTTATGACTTATAGAAACAAAATGGAAGGAATATGTACTGTTGTGGAGATGTAAATTTTTGGTTTGACAGAGACTTTAAAATATAGAACATCAGCTACACAAATGATTTTCACATAACGTTTTCATACTATAAAAAATTCAGATCAATAAATATGTTCCCTAACCATTATAAAAGTAAAATATATCACTCTTTTGACATCATGCAAAAATGTTATGCATTCTGTTATCAACAATAATGTAAAATATTCCAGGACCAGTTTCTTCCTCAATGTTTAGGAAAGTCAATCGAAACACATATCTATTCAATTTCGTAAAAAAGTTAAGTTTTTGGTTGTTCCATCATATACAAACATATGGTTTGCGATAATAATATATATATAAACAATCATAAAAGAAGATTGACAACAAAAATTATGATGTTCAGTTTGCTATCTGCATAAAAAGAACATCGACAACAAGACAGTTAACAATTTTGAGATTTCTAGAAATACCGTACATTAAATCTTTATTATAGTCAAGTAATGAAAGGATTTCTTTGATTTTTTTTTTTTAAATATGTAAGGAAAGAATTATAATCAAAGAAAAGACAAACTTATGAACATATGATACAATATAGAGATACATGTATATGCCGTTCATGTATTAATTCAAAATGTCCTTCCAGTGTTTGCTATCAAACTAAATCTTGGACCCATACAAAGCTTTAGCAAACAAAAATATAAACAAGAGATGAACATAAAATATTTACTGAAGAATTTTCAACCCTTTACCTGTAGATTATTTTATATGGATAAAATTATCCAGTCGCCATTTTTTAAACTTTCCATTATTTATATATGGATCTTGAAGACGAAAAAATTTAGACAATCAACAGTATAGAGCCTGGTCAGACTGCATGTACATCCTGGCCTGAGTCTACACTGATGGCAGACTGATCATTTTCTGGTCCCACAGATAAAGGGTTAAATAGCAAAACATCTTTGGGTATTAAATGCAATTTTGAAAAAAAAGAGTTAATTTTCAGCTGCAACCTTTTAGAATGTAAATACAACTGTAAACATAAAGAGCATGTTAAGACCCTATTGCAATTAATCCGCAGTATATCTTACATCTACCTGAAATAGACAACCTACAGACATTAGGTCTTGTGGTAGAAACAAAAGCACATGATATACCTTATCCTTCTTAATTCATTGGTAAACATTAACTTCTTGTAAGAAGTACAAAAATCTTTTCTTTCCTGAATAGAATAACAATACTGAAATCTCAATTATTCTCAATTTGGTAAAAAGCAATACATGTACTGTTATTATTATGTTATCATTATTATAGAAATCACTTCATACATATAAAATGTGTATTACTTTAACAAAGTGCTTTACTGTACTTTAAAAGGACATCTGACAAAGAAAATACACTTAAAGCACCAAAAATATTACAATGCTTTTACTGAGGTAAAAAGGCAGATTTTCTCTCAAAATTCTATTTTGTATTAGCTTTCATAAAACATACAACAAAACATAAATGCAAAATAAAACTGGAATTCACTAGACTGGCCAATAATTGGACTACTGTAAAACAAGGAATTTCTCATTTCTTGTTTTAACATGTTAATGTCAACTGTTACTTAGATGAATTATAACCCTAAAACCTCTTAAATGGACTTGTCCATCTTACATTTTTGGAACTGTCCATTTTCAGTTTTGGGGATATTTAGATGAAAATCAGAAGAAAGTCCCCTGACAGTACAAAGCATTGTCAGACTGCATGGATTTGCAGGCTTGCATCACTCTATACTGGTGTAAAGGTTATTCACTTTCAGTTTAGTTTTGGTGTAAGTATTTATATACTTCACAAGACAGAACTGAATAGATGATAAAATAGATATAATGTGAATTTCAACTGTTTTGCAATTATTTCAACAAGTAAAAATATAGGTGATATCTTCATCGCAAAAAACACATAATAAAAACCAAAATGGTTTCTGGCTAAAAAAAGTCTAAAATGATTGTATTTTTAAAAGATTTGACATAATTAAACATAAAATAATGAAGTTTAATTGAAGAATTACATAAGACATTGTTTAACACTCATGGCAGTAAGTCTTATCTAATCATATTTGTGTGAAATTAATATTAATTTTCACCAGAATACAGCATTAATTAATTCACATGTGAAAAAAATAAACAACAAAACACAACACCCTGTGAGCAGTTCAGTGTCTACCAAAATAGGGATCTACTCTTTATAACTTGTATGCAAACAGAAATACTTGTGTAAAATAATTATAACAATTAGATATACTGAGATAGATTTGTATACAATATATTTATCGATGGAACATTAACAGCAACAATGATTTGCCAGAACCCTGTATTATACTACCTAACCAGATAAAAATTATAATACTTACAAAACCAGATTCAAAATTAAATTATAACTTACAAACAAACAGATTACCAAACCAGAATGTACAACTGTGTGATGGCCCCCAAAATTAAAACTGCTGCAAAATCCCAGACATTAATTTAAATTTTGTCGCGAAACCCTTTACAGTAAAAACAGGCAGTTCCAAGTTTGAAGCGGTCAAGTCCATTTAAATAAGATGTGTGTAAAGATTTTGTAAGATTAAATGTTAAATGGAAGAGTATATGACTGAATTTAAACATATTATAATATATCTATGTGAATATTTATTGTTAAGAATAAATCAAAGTGTATACATGTAGAATATATGAATTTAAAGTCAGTTGACCACAACATTTATTATGTCTTATATGACTAGAAAAAAAACACTGACACAATACATATGTTCATTATATACATACTAAATATACACTGTTTTTATACACTGTAGAAAAAAAACAACAGAAGTACATATTTAAAGTTTAACTGAAATATAAAAAATAAATACACAAATGTACATATTTATCAGTGTTAACTCAATTTTATCATTTTTCTTTGTTGAGTTATGCATTCATACAGATTTTGTTATAAAAACCATACCTTAGCTTATACCAAAATTTCATTAAGAACACAAGACTCCACTTGAAATTTGAAACTTAACATTAAAACAAAGTGACAGGTTAAAAAGGAACAACCTTAATGTAAAATTGGCTTATCAAAATATTGTTTTAAAAAAGAAAAATGCTGTTTTAAAAATCTCAAACCCCTCCTTTTTTCTTAGATGATTGTGTTAAAATATTAATTAAGTTTAAGACTAATCCATAATAAATGCAAAAGAGAAAGGCTACAATAAAATTTCAATTAATTTTACACTTTTTTAAGTAAACAAAAACAACAACATTAAATGCATTCTTATTTAGCACCATAGAAAGGTTTAGGGCCTATTCGTACTGAACTAAGTTTAATGTTTGGGTCTGCACCTTTAAATGTTCCATCACCATGATGGGCAGAGTCTCTGCTTGGTAGTTCCATACTATGTCGGACATTCGTTGGTAAAGTTGGTGATTTATTCACAGCACTATTTGGAGACACACTTCTAACACGAGATCGTAGTTTCACTTGAGTTGGTGAGGGACTGGTAGCCCCTTTACCAAGATTTTCAATTTTTTCTTCAAAAATGTTTGTTAATTCTTTAATACTTCCTCGTCTCTTTTTCTTTTCAGCTTTATCTTTATCACTTTTTTCATAAGATTTTTGTCCATTAGTTTGACCTGTGGTTTCAGTTTTTTGTATTACTGGACTAGTAGTTTTGTCCTCGTGTCACTTTCTTTGACCCCCTTTTTGTTGTTTAAGCCTTTCATATCCTTTTGAGCCCCAACTAGTTTTAAAAATTTTCGGAGAACTATTGACTTTTCTTTGAGACTGATCTGGTTTTGAATCGTCTTTTGTAAAACTGCTCTGTCTAAATACAGGGATTTTCGAAGCGGTATCACTTCTTGATGCAGTAGGAGAACCTCCATGACGTGGCAACACAGGAGGTCCTTCTTTACCTCGTGCAAGTTTGGGAGAAATTTCAGTAGAATATCTGTGTCCTTTTGGTGAACTACTGTGTGGTAAAAGGTTTGATGTAGCATCTTCAGATAATATAAGTGAGCCTCTTTGACCTTTTGGTGACCCTTCATAACGTGATTTTGGCGAACCTTCAGACTTATTAGATTTTACTGGTATTTTAGCATTGTCTACTTCATTCAATGAAGATTCACTTGGTGTTCTGGTCTTGGAGCTGGTTCTACATAAAGGTGGTTTTCCTTGTAAGGTGGGTATAGATCTTGAAGGAGAGGGTATGTTTGAACTCTTCTGATTTGGATCAGCATTATCTGTAACATGTTTACCCTGACCAGCAGGGGCATTTCCTGTTGGACTTACGCAAACAGTATCTGATTTAAAGTTATTGTCCTCAGCCTTTTGTCCCTTTTGTGTCTTCCCGAAATTATCAGTTTTAATTTCTTTTCCATCATGTTCAAGTGATTCATGCATTTGTCTTATTGAAGAAACTATATTCTTCTCAGGTGGAGTTATCGTTTTCTTTTTACCACTTTCATCAACTTCTGAAGGAGAAGTAGGCCCAGTTTCTTTTTCAAACTTTTCACATAAAGTTAATAATTTACTTGACCTATGAGCTTTACAGAATCTTATATCTTCTGAATTCTCATGTCCAATATCCATTAAATCACTGTGAAAATCTGCCATATCATTTTCAGAGTTCTCTGCATTCCTTTGATGAACTGCAGTAATCAGAGTTTCATCAAATGAACTTCTTGTTGGTATTTCGAAGCTGAAAACCCTGTTTTCTCTTGCTGCTCCAATGTTTTTCTCTTGATCAGCTGGAGTGTGTCCATAACTGAGAAAATCCCTCCTCTGAAAGTACTTTGACCCTGCTGCATAGAAACTAGTTTCTGGTGTAACTTCACTTGGATCAACAAAGACATCATCCTCTGAGGCAGAATTCTCCCCATGGTCTGAGTCCACTAAATCTATAAGCTTTGTATTAGCTGGTTTGGATTGTCTATTTATAGCACTTGACTTTTTATAGCTTGGTTTATTATCAAGAACTAGTTTTTCCTCACCTCTCTCTGAACTCATATTATTTTGAGAAACTGATGATGATTTTGCTGACTGACTTCTTTTCTTAGCTTCACTGTTTCCCTTTTCATCAAGGATTTTTGGATACTCCCATGTGATTAGAATTTCATTAGATTTTGGTTGCTTTGTCTTTGGTGTTTTAGTATGTGTTGATTTGGGTTTAGAGAAAACAAGTGTAGACTTACATGTTTCAATCATCTCCAAAGGCGGTGGGGCCAGATCTCCTGGTAAACTTAAACTGTTCACCATTGGACTGTAATAGTGCCAGGAATCAAAATTCTGAGGATAAGTGAAACTAGTACTCATCAAATCTACCTGAGAGGATGTTGATGAGGACATGGAATCCTGCATGACTGGTGGAGGAGTATCCATAACTTGTACAGAGTCAGCTGCTATTGCTACCAAGTGTTCCAAACCAGGAGAATGTTCTGGAATACGGGAACCAGCCACATTAACAAAGCTTTCATTTGGCATTCTTGGACCTGGCTCATGTATTCTTATAGCTGGTTCACATACGCTCACATGTTGTGGCTGGTAATTATGTAAGTTAGCCATGTTACGTTCCAAATCATCATTAACAGCATTTTGGAATTCTTCCTCAGTGTTATCAATTGGTTGATGGACTTGTGGTGGGTCTGGTGTAAGTTGGGAGAGTACCATTGGAGTAGCTATTACAACAGGACCATCAGAAATTATCTGCAAATGTATCTCTGGTAAGTTCACTAAGCCAACATCTGAAGGAACTTCAATAGATGACTCCATATCAAAACCAGATAAAGGATTAGTGTCAAAGAAAGACCTTTGTTGCATGTGAGGAGACGTGATATTTGGAAATGGTGCCATTACTTCATCTAATGGAGACAAAACCCCTGCATGTTCTTTCATTTGTTCTTGCATCATTTCTTTCATTTCATTGGACATGTTCTGATGTGATGCTAGTCCTAAACAACTCTCATTAACATCCATCTCTTCCAACATTTGTGGTAGCAGTGTTCCTATACTAGATTGGCTACTATTAAGCTCACCATTTGATTGGCTTATTTCGTGAAATGGAAAATCAGCTGATTGGCTGCTTTCTGACCTCATTAGCACAGATGATTGGCTGCTTTGATGGGAAGACCTTCCACTGTAATTTCTCAAATCTGATAGGCTCCTATCATTTGAAGATCTAATTACATGTGATCCTTGACCTTGGGGTATAAAATTTGCTCTACTTGACCTGCACTCTGCATCAGATTCCTCAAATGATGAACCAAGACTAGTAACCCGAACAGATGTCTTGTAAGAGGAATCAAATGATGTCTGTCTAGTGAGAACAGGGGTCGTGTTAGACTTTCTTAATGCTCCAGATCTATCTGTTGTAACACCAGCTGAGGCACCAATACCTGTTGCTGATTCATAAGAAGACCCATGGTACAGACTTGATATGGAAGAACTGGATTCAAAACTACTGGAATGTTCCAGGAAGCCTCCAGGTGAGGTCACAGCAGATACCGGTGATTGAGGCAAGGATGATGCAGCAGGCATAGTCTGACTTCTAAGAATAGTTGGTCGTTCTGTTGTTATTTTGCGATCTTCGTTTCTTGAAGATTTATGCTGAAACACCAGAGGTTCATGTTCTGGTACATTATCATAAGTCTCTATTTCCTTTTTCTTAGACTTTGCAGATGCTTTTTCAACATTTGCTTGCGTTAGATTAGAGGTTCCTTTACGAGTTATGGAAGGCCTCTCTATCACAACAGTATCAGTGCCTGTACTTACTTCAGGTTCTGTATGGGAAGACAACTGTTCTGTGGAGTCAGAAGCATTTCCAGAGAGACGTATTGAATCACCAGTTGGAGCTAGACATTTTTTCCAATTATCATTAAAAACAGCCATGTCTATTTCATTAAAACTGTCATTAAGACCTGCAAGGTCTTCCCAGCGAGGCTGCTTATGCTCAGGAGATAAAGGACTTGAGACCAGACTACCACTTTTACGCTGTTCAAATTTCAATTGAGGTATTAAAGAACGCCTATCATGTTGAGGACTTTCTGAGGTTTTCTTTCCCGATCTTGGACTCTGGTTGTATTTTTTATTATCTCTTTGTGGACTAGAACCTCCATATTGAAAACTTTTTTGTCTTGCCCCAGTTTGAGGACTTGCCTCAGAACTACTGAAAGACTGGTTGTGTTTTTGTTGTGATCTAGGACTGCTTTCAACACTACTGAATGACTGGTTGTGTCTCTGTCTAGGACTTGCATCAGAACTACTTGTAGATTGACTTAATTTCTGTCTTGACTGTGGACTTCCCTCAGAACTGCTAAAAGACTGGTTAAGCCTTTGTCGGGATGGTGGACTGGCATCCACATTGCTTAGTGACTGGGTTTGCTTCTGTCTTGAATGTGGACTGCCATCTGAACTACTGAAAGACTGGTTTTGTTTTTGGCGGGATGGTGGACTTGCTTCAATACTACTTAAAGACTGGCTCTGCTTCTGCCGTAAATGAGGGCTCCCATCAGTATTACCATAAGATTTGGGTAATTTCTGTCTTGAGGTAGGGCTAACATCTGCACTGCCTTTCATTTTTCCTCTTTGTTTTGACTGTGGACTACTCTCCAAGCTGCTCAAAGACTGACTGTGTTTCTGTCTTGACTGAGGACTGGCTTCCAAGCTGCTTTGACTCTGGTTACGCGGTGGACGTGATGCAAGTGGGCTCGTTTCAGGACTACCAAAACTCCTATTAAGTCCGACACCACGATTTGAGCCTGGGCTAGCATCTGGGCTAGTCAAACTTGATCTACTAGACCGTGATCTTGGTACTGAACCTTCAAGTGGGCTTGCTACACTAGATCTTCCTGACCTGTCTCCATCAGGGAAGCCCTTGCTTCTAGCTCTCACTGGACTGTACATCATACTCTGCTCAAATTGCTTAAGAGAATCAGGGTCAGACATCAGAATTTTCTGAAAATCTTCTTCACTTATTGTGCTTCCCATCTTTGTTGGCACATTCCAGTATGGGCTGTGGTCATCTGCTTTTGTATTTTTTTTATTATTAGCAGAATCTGACTCTAAAAGACCAACCATTGGTTGAGAGGAAGTTGAAGGAGAAACAATATCTAAGGAAGCTGGAGGTGATGGTCTAGTCGGGGTTGTTGTTGTAGGTTCTCCAGGACATGTTGATCTCACTGGAGCCTTAATGACTTGTGGGGCATCTGCAATATGAATCTCAGCAGCAGGACGGTCAACAAACTTATTCTGATTAACTTGATCATCATCCATGTCTCTCATACTTCCAAATGACCTATGACCTGTTGGAGTCACCAACATTTCGTCCTCAAAGGAGACAAGTTCTGAAGATAATTCTTCATTAGATCTTTCAGAGAGTGTTTGAGATGACTGAATATCATGTAGAGACTGTGTCTTATGTTTTTCTTGCTTAAATGCTTGATCAATTTGTGCATTTATTTCCCTTAAAGTTCGACTAAGTGGAGATTCATCATGGAGACCATCAAGAGAAGTACTACGTCTTCGCCTATCCAACCCATTGCCCTCACTATTAGGATAAATATTGTCTTGTGACATTGATAATTCACTGATTGTCATTGAGGACATTATATCTGAATGGCTGCCACTTACACTATGAATATTTTCCAAGGATTTCTGAATGTCCGACGGAATACTTATGCATTTCGACATTGGTTTTGAACTGGAATAACTTTGCTGAATGTTTTGTAAATTGTGCTCAAGTTTTGAAATTTCACTTGCAAAATCACTTGACTGACTTTGTTTCAATTGGTCTTTAGAAGCACTTGTTTTTGCATGTAATCCAACATTATTTTTGGAAGAATTTTTGGCAGGAAAATCTGTTTCAAGCACATTTTTACTTTCTCTATCACTAAGAGATTCTTTATCATGCACATTGTCAATACTTTCAACTGGATACCTCTTTTGTACACTATTTTGCACAGCACATTCAGAAGTTACAGGTGCACTTTTCCTGTTATCCGCTGCACTTTTACTAACATGTGATTCAGGATCATCCAAATCATCATCATTGATTTCTGCATAATCATGATAGCGCGAGAAAAAATACGGTGATTTAAACAGCAGAGAAACTTGTGTATTTGAGGGCGGATTTGTTGGCTCTTCACTTTTTGATTTACTCCAACGTTTCCGTCTGCTTCCTGGACTTTCAGGAAGTTGTTCTATTAAATCAGTCCGTTTTTCATGTGAATCACAAGGAATATTTTCCTTCTCACTTCCACATCTACTCCTTCCTTTAAAACTACCACTACTCCTTTCAATTGAAGGACTTTTTTCCTTCCCATCTTTTAATTTCTTTCTATCTTTTGGTGGCGTTTTCGACCCTTTCCTTTTCTCAGGCCCATTATCCTCACCACTTCTACTCATTTCATTAGCACTTTCCGATGACAAACTATTAACCAAAAATCTTTCATTTTCTGAGTCCTGTCTCAGTATTTTTCCCGAAGACCCTTTTGGGGGTTTTGATGTCAAGGTCACTTCTAACGTAGGTTGAGATAATGATTTATCTGGATACTGCTGAAGAACTTCATCAACATCCCTACAACTGCTCCCATGTTCCCGACCCTCGTGTCGTGGAGTAGTAGGAGCAGATGGTGTTCTTCGGTGACAAATGACTTTACGTTTCTGATCATTTCGTATAAAGGATTGTTTTCTCTGAACACCATCAGGACTGTCAGAAGATTCTTTATCACCTTTACCAGCCTCATGTAAATGAATTTCTATATCTGAAAAAAAAACATTTAATGATTTAAAATAAAACAAGAATTTGTAACAGAGTTACCAACGTCCCCCGCCCCGGGAGTTTTATATGAAGCATAAAATTGTGCTATTTCAAAAGATTGAGGTATGGACCTCAGGACATTCAGTCCAAAATTATGATCAATGCTAGATCTGCAAATGTAACAATAAATTTGTTAAAAAAATAAAATGAAACACGGAATTTAAAAATCTATCATGTTAAGCTTTGACCTCTAAGTGTGAACTTGACCTTGGAGGTAGGGGAGCAGGTGTTGTGCATGATTATTATTGTGACTATTTGTGCCAAGTTATTTCAAAATCCCTTGAACTATGAAGAAGTTCTAGATTCAACACAAAATATACCCTATAACAGACTATGTTAATTTTTGACCTCTAAGTGTGACCTTGACCTTGGAGGTAGGGATGCAGGTGTTGCGCATGACACATCCTCTTATTATAGTGACTATTTGTGCGAAGTATTTTCACAATCCTTTGATCTATGAAAAAATTATAGACCTGACACAAAATATACCATGTAACAGACTATGTAAGTATTTGACCTCCAAGTGTGACCTTGACCTTGGAGGTAGGTGACTGGTTTTTGCGCATGACACATCATCTGATTATTGTTAACAATTATGGCAAGTATTTACAAAAGTCCTTCATAGATAAGAAAGTTATGGACTGGACACGACATATACCCTCAAATAGACAATGTTGACCTTGAATGAACAAGTACGACCTTGACCCTGAAGGTACGGGTCTGGTTGTTGCGCATGACACATCGTCTTATTATAACAAACATTTGTGCCAAGTTATCTCAAATACCTTTGATAAATGACAAAGTTATGGACCGGACACGAAATATACCCTGTAACAGACTATGTTAATATTTGACCTCCAAGTGTGACCTTGACGTTGAAGGTAGGCAACTGGTTTTTGCTCATGACACATCGTCTGATTATTATGAACAATTATGGCAAGTATTTACAAAAACCCTTCATAGATAAGAAAGTTATGGACCGGACACGAAATATACCCTGTAACAGAATATTTTAATATTTGACCTCCAAGTGTGACCTTGACCTTGAAGGTAGGTGACTGCTTTTTCCGCACGACACATCGTCTGATAATTGTGAACAATTATGGCAAGTATTTACAAAATCCCTTCATAGATAAGAAAGTTATGGACCGGACACGAAATATACCCTGTAACAGACTATGTTAATATTTGACCTCCAAGTGTGACCTTGACCTTGAAGGTAGGTGACTGGTTTTTGCGCATGACACATCGTCTGATTATTGTGAACAATTATGGCAAGTATTTACAAAATCCCTTCATAGATAAGAAAGTTATGGACCGGACACGACATATACCCTCAAATAGGCAATTTTAACCTTGAATGAGCAAGTGTGACCTTGACCCTGGAGGTAGGGTCTGGTTGTTGCGCATGACACATCGTCTTATTATAATAAACATTTGTGCCAAGTTATTTCAAATTCCTTTCATAAATGACAAAGTTATGGACCGGACACGAAAGTGTGACGGACAGACAGACGGACGGACGGACCGACGGACAGACAGACGGACAGACGGACGGAGCCTATTTCTATATCCCCCTTTTTTCTTCGAAAAGGCGGGGGACAATAATTTATCATGCTACATATTTACAATACTATATTTCTTCCCCTAAACATTTTTAAAATAACATGTTCCTGTGTTAACAAAAGACACTTTAACATTTTTGTGAAAATATCAAATTCAAAATACTTTGTATGATATCTGAAAGGCATTTCAGATTCTCACTACTTTCTAAATGAATATTAAATACCAAAAGTAACTAAATTTTTTTTAAATCTTATATCAATAAACAGATCATCCAAATAGAAAAAAAGTCTGTAAACATTACAGAAAATGGATACTTTTCTTGCATATAAAGATTTCAATAAATTACAAAAGTTTTTGTTAATGTAATTCATACACAACTCACCGTTAGGGTTCACATCAATGGCCATTTCTCTATTACCCTCGTCCTCGAGTACAAAACTAGGGTATGATATAGAGTATTCATGTGAGCTGGTCAAAGGTCGTGGTGACTCTACTGACATTGATCTGTACTTATTCGGGCTAGCATTCTCCTTATCTGTAATAACATACATATGTTGAATACATAAATTTTTACCACAATACTCAAACATCATATATTCATTTACAACTTCAAGTTTGTCATGCTAATTATAGATTTCAGTCATAAATAAATTCATATTAGAAATTGCTGGTCTTATTTTTCTCCACCAAGACTACAATCTTGTTAGATTTTACCATAAATTAAGAAGTTTGGAGTGAAGAACAACACATTATAAACTTTTTACTTTCCTTTAGCATACTTGATGATTTCCTTACATGAAAAAAAATAAATTACTATTTGCAACACATACCGATAAACAGACCAGTGATTGAAATCAGCTGCCATAATCATTTGAAAAAATAAGAGTAAGGTTACATCTAAATAATTTACCAGCAAGTATATGCATGAGCCTGTTGGGATCTAGACTTTCCGAGAGAGGGCTGCCAAGACGACTTGTGATTGGGAGCGAGAGCAATGACTCGGCACTTTTGGCGCTGCGTATACGCCTACGTTTCCAGTGTTGTACATCCTCCTCTGTGATCGCCTTCCTCTCACCAGCATCAAACGTAAGGGTGTCTATAATAATGGCAGAAAAAAATTGGATAAAGGAACAGTCTATACTACACCAGAAGTAATAAAGGCAAGTATAAAAGTTTTAACAACTTATTAAGCACCACTATCACAAAAACATTTATCAATTCGCCAACTAAATCAATAAATTTTTTTCCAAATTTCAAATCAATTGCAAGTTCAAAATTAAAATCAATGAATTAACAAAACTTGAATGTATGACATGTAAAGCACAATAATTTACCCTGTAGACTTGGTTTACGTCCCTTCTGTCGTATACTACCAGATCTTGACTTTGTAAACAGAGATTTGATTCCTCCAGGAGATTTCTTTCCCTTTACCTCCTTTGCACCCTTTTTCCTACAAGAAAGATGATATTGTTTACAAATTATTCTACGAACAAATGTTTCCTGTCAAACACTTCGCAATGAGGTTTAATTCAGTCAATAGCAACGTAATTGTTACGGGTCTTGGATAGTGACCTACAAATGTGATTTTAAGTACAGATGTGAAGTTTCAAGTGAATACCTTCAGAGGGTTATTGAGGATATGAAGTTGCATGCAAATCTTAAATCAAGTGCCCAAAAAGGAAACATTAGCCTTATCTTTTGTTATCTGTTACTTAATAATATATAAATATCACATATTTTGTAAACAACTTGTCAAACCAGTACATAGTGGCACCTACTCTTAAAATGTTTTCAAGTGCTTTAATATCTTTACGTTTTGAAAGCTGTTGAAAATAAAATTTATGAAGATTGCTTTAAAATTACAAATCTGATTTCATTTTCATGTAAGGATGGGAGTTAAATTTATGCTTGTCAAATTACTATTACTTGATTTCTGGATGGTGATACTTGTTACCTATTAATCTCCTACAAATTTTTCATGTAAGACTTGTAACTTACTTGTATCCAGGTAGATCTAAAACAGTGTGATATTTAGATGGAAGATTGGATGGTCCACCACCAACATCTATGTACCGTTGGTCAGGTTTCACAAAACTACCTAACAGTGCCCTCTCTCTAGCTTCCTCTAAAGATAGCAGTCTTGTTGGCGTCGAGATAGCTAAAGATTTAGGTCTCGGCTTTTTATGAGTTTCTGCAGATATAAAAACAACATGTAAATGTCTTTACTTAAACGGTACCACTCTAGTAAGCTATTCCGCATTAACATACATTATATATTACATAAGGGACATAATTTTCAACATTGTACAACTTAATTGGACCACATTTATTTGGTTTTCTAAACTTTCTAATGAAAACACAAATCTGAGAATTACAGTTGTGATCTCTTTATTAACTTATTTTTCATCATACAAATCTATGATTTACAATATTTAATTTTTTTTCTTTTTAAAAATTATCTCTTGATCAAGAAAACATATTCTTTCATGAAAATAATGAAATAATTAGGGTTATTATTTAGCAAAGTACATACTTTTAAGTTCTGGTGAGGAATATGAGGGCATTTTATCACTGAAGATGATCTCAGCATAAAGAATGAGGAACTCTGTCACCACTGCCTGTATACCCACACCCTGTAGTGCAGCCGCCCCTCCCCCCGTCTCTAACTCCTTCGATCTAAAATATACAGGACAAAATAGCAAGTCTACTTCATTATCAAACTATTAATCTGATTAAATATGTAAGAATTTTCTATTTAAAGAGAAGATCATAAGCATTAATTTTTTTCTTTAATGTATATCCCTATAATATTGTACATATGCATGTGGAACTATTTGCAACTAAAGCCTAATATAATGGTTATTTACATTAGTGTTTGTTTTGATAGGTCTTATGTCACATCAACACTGTAAAGGTCTTACAGTAACTTTCCAGCTTTACTTGTGAAGAAGATCTCACCCTTTGGTGCATTATTACAGGCAAACAAGAGGGTCTGATTAGAACAACTAACTGTCTGTAAGCAAGCTGTACAGCTTTCTCACATGAAAAATCCAAGGTCCCTGGTGGGATTCTACCCCACAACATAAGGGGCAAGTGATTTGAACTATTGATTGTAAAATAAATTGGGTTTTTTTTTTTGTTTTGTTTTTCTGATGTACTTACATTTCAAAACATAGCTTAAACAAATATCAAACCTTAATAAATTTGGTGCCCAGACGATAGCAAGATTTTTTGAATGCATGCCAGTCTCATGCCCATGTGCTGCAACGCGAGCCAAGTGCCGCATCAAATATTCGGTGGTACGATAATGTGGGGGAGGTAACTGTTGTACAACATCGTGGATACGTAACAATTTGTTCTCCTCATCTTTTACTGCATTCTAAATAAAAATACAACATCCATTATTATATAGCAACCAATAATACATTATCCCATAACCTGCTGATTTTGTGTAATGGGCTTGCCCAACTTTGATTTAGTCCATTAGAATTTTAAGGGAGATCATAAACAATATATTAAAATTAAGCTTCTTACAGTTTAGAACCTGGTCAGAGGTTAATCACTTAGGATTCCAGCAGGTTAATGCTAAGTTATAATAATAGTTATATCAATCTAACATTGTAACAAAATGTGGGAAATGAATAATATTCTGATCTAAACAACTCATACTAAGTTTAAAGCTTATAGTAAGCTGTAAGTTTCATCCAAGAAACATAATCCAAGTTTCCTAAATGGAATGATGCTTTTAACAAACTGAGGGGTTATCTTTCTTGATGTATCTCCTCAAAACATTTCTATGACCATAGAACATTTAAGAAATGCAGAAAAGAAACTCATTTTTTCGAATTCATAGTTCATCAGACAGGTATTACTGTCAAACTTTCAGTTAATTGTTAACTCGTCATCAATAATTTCACATATTTTTTATTAAGTTTTTCCTTTTTTAATACGTAATTTTACAAGAAACAGAATGAATGACTTACAGCAAATTTATCATACAATTGATATGTAAGTAAAGGGTTAGGTAATTCTCTGAAGTACATCTTGAGTAGAGAGGAAATACTGTGAACATCTTGTAAATATTCTTCTGATGTCAGGTCTGGTACACGATCTTCATCAAATGCAAGTCTGTAAAACAACATGGATCTTACTATAGAGCATGATTTAAAAGAAAATGGGTAAAGACAACTTTTAGCAAAATAATTCTTCTTTTCCCCATAATATTTCCAACATAAACATTTTGATAATAAATATGTTTAAGTGGCGGCATGGCCAAGTGGTTAACGCATCAGTCTAGTAATCTCATGATTGCTAGCCACATGGGTTTAAACCCCGTCAGGGGCAAGTCATTGTTTCCTTGAGCAAGAAACTTTACACTCATTGCTCAGTACTGGTTGGTTCCAGGAACCGATTCGAAAGTGTGTCTATAAGCTTATAGCTTCCTGCATAAACTAAAATAAATTCTGTATAAACCAATAAATATGTTATTCAACTGTTTATTCAAAAATGCTTTAATGCTTCACAGGTAGATTAAGACTTCATATGAAACCATAAAGCGACAAATACGCCAGGTGGAGTACAATAGGTTTGCCTATTTTGTGAACAGTGAAGCAAAAATATATTTAGGTTTCAATATCTGATTTCTTCACAAAAAATAGCCTTTTTCTATAAAGTGAATGTTAACAAGCTGGTTATACTATTGTATACCTGAGTTTCTGTATGTTTGAGGTGATACCAGACAACCGGTATATACCGTCTACTAGACCCTGACTCTCTATAACATCAGCACAGCTCTTCAACACCAATGGTACTGAAATACATCAATATACACATGTCATTCTCATAAATAAATATCTATCAAATACACACTCCTTTAAAACACTAGATATTACTATACAAGGAAGTTTTTATTAATTAAACAAGTAAGTAATATATTGGCAGATTAAGCAAAGTCCAAATTACATATATGTATATAACTATGAAATATATAGACATATTATACAATGGTATATGACATATTTATAAATGAATTGAAAACACACCCATTATTTCTGTTTCTAACTCTTCTCCTAATGAGTTTTTAAAATGAACTTTTCCAGCTTCAATTCCAAGAACTATTTATTATTATATCAAGATGGAACTTAGTCACCAAACAGTATAAGGTCCTATCAGACTAGATGAATACGCTGGAAGGCAAGGGTCTAACTTGATAGTAAATGCTGTTTATTTCAGGGTCCCAGGATTAAAACATATAAAAACATCAACAGAGATAGATTACTTACCATCATGACCGGAGTTGAGTAAATGTTCTCCCAGATCACACCCAAATACTCGCTCCCGCACAATACCAGACTGCTTCAGTTGTATACGTGCTGGACGAGTGTTAAAGAACAATCGGAGAAATGATATAAACTTCCCATGCTTCTTCAATACTGTAATAAAATAATGTTTTAGTTTCTTTTAAAAAAGAAGATAAACAATACAAAATAAGATATTTCAAAACAGTAACATAATAGTTATATACATTATACAAGTTATCATCAACAATGAAGAAATAATGTGGACACTGCTAAATTTTCTCTAGTCTATAAAGTAGGAAGAAACATTTCTGAACTGTGAAATTTTATAGGTAACATGTCCTGGAATAGACCATGGGTATATATTCATTACAATTCATATCTATGACATAATAGTATACTAATGGGTTAGACCCCAGGGTCTATACCATGAGATTGTCCATGATTATCTAATTTTGAGAAGAAGTCATTTCTAAAGTGGCCGCAACATAGATCTGATTGTATGGCATTTCTATCAAATATTGCATTAAATGATCACTTACATCACAAATATACTTTGATCTGTCACAGAAATAAACAAATATCTGCTACACATCTATAACTAGGATAATTTAGTCAGAAATGGTCCCATTAGGTTAATTATTGTTTTGCATACACTGTAATTCCCAGTCTGTTCTTGTCTAGACAATGGTATTACCACAATGTTTATTGCTCTATTGCCTTTACCATAATCATATATAACAAATACAGTCAGTTTTAAGTACTTCCTGGCAGTAAGAGAAATACAACTGTCTCTAAACACATCAACATGAAACATTTTCTTCATAAACAGTCATTTATATAAATAGGTTTTCATCAATGAACAAACAGAGTAACCCTAGCTAAGCTTGTTGAAATTTTTGGATTTTTTGAATTTTCGTACAGCAGTACATGAAGGCGAAGTAAAAACAATAGTGTTCAACATACACAAGATACTGATTCAATATCAGTGAACACTTAACCCCTTACACTATATACACGCCTTTTAACGCCTTTTTTCACCCCCACCTTTTTTGTTGTCTCAAACGGTGAAAAAATGCCTTATTTAGGCCCCCAACACTTGTTTTGGTTTGAGAAATGTTGTTTAAAAAAGTGACCAAAACCGAAAGATACATCAGGGGGTTGCCAGAAGGGGAGGTTTGAAGGGGGGCGCTAGTCCCCCTCATCGCCAAGAAAATTTTGGACTTGTGAGAGGCTAAAAATGTCCCCAGATCGATCATAAGGTAACGTGTAACCAACGCTGAAAAGCATTTGACTCTATCTCAATCCATTGAGAAGTTGCAGCACTTTGAAATCAATTTTGATGGAAAAATTCAACGCCAAATACTGATTTTTAGCAATTTTGAAATGTCCCCTCATTGCCATGGTAACAGGAAATTTAAGCCTGAGCATGTTGTTGCAAAGGCAATGGTCCAGTCAACATTTGTGCCAAGTTTGATTAGTATTGAAGCAGTTTTTATAGTTTTATAGCAATTTGAACTTGTAACGGGAGACTTTTCAATGAAAACAGCCATTTTTCACAAAATGTTCATGAAGTAATGGGTTAAACTGCTGAATAAGTGTAATAAATTAGCCCTGCTTTGAATCTAAAGTTTAATGAATTCAATTAATATACCAACAGTATAGAGCCAAGTCAGACTGCACATATATAATGACTGGCCTGGTTCTATACTGGTGGTAAACCCTAATTACTTTCTATTCCATCATGTTAATTGTTAAGCTTATCGTTCAACCAGAGTATTGTAATAAACTAGTAATTTACACTTACATGCCCTATTCTGTGGTGTTTCTGGTATACCACTAACTACAGCATGGGGAACCTTGTTGTCTATCACTTCAACACATTCATATGGAAAGAAACCAACCTGCAAATAATAATTATAAGCTTGTATATAACTTCTTACAAATATAATACAACATAACTGGCTACAGGTAAAGACAATGAAATCTCTGATAATGATACATTCTCCCGGAAACTGTTTTAATACAGCAAAAAACAACAACAACAAAAAACATTGAGAGACTATTCTCAGTGCTTGATAGTATTATAAAAGATATAACAGGAGTTTTATTACTTCTCAAATGTAAATAATTTAGTAGTAAAAGGTTAAGCCTATCCTAGCATTATGGGTCTTGGTCACTGACATACAATTATGGCTTTGTATACTTAAGGAAATTTTCCCTTTTTATAAAATTCAAGCGCATATTCAAGAAAGTCATCAAAATGCCAAATATTAACAACAATGGTCAATTAAAGAAATAAAAAATTTTAGCCTCCGTGACTTTGACCCTATCAACCACCTGAAAAAGCTATCCCAGGTAAACTATACACAAATATAATAAAAAATGAACTTCAAGGCTAAGTGAAAAACATTAAAAAAAACTCAGTTTTTTTCAGAGTTCATAAAAAATGTCTTTTCTATCTCATTAACATTAAATATAAATAAAAAGCACAGAAAAAACAACAACAGTGAATTCAGTGAATATATAATAAATATACAGATCAATACTAAGATTTATGAACTCTTTGTTAAAAGTAATTTATTTTTTTGTACCACCCTGTGTACATTTTTTAACACATATGTTTTATCAAAGACAAAGAAATCATGTTATAATCTAAAAGCTTTTCTTATATTTTCTACATAAAAAACCCATTGAATTATATAAAATGACTATCTGATGTAAATGTTAAAGCTAGGTCTCTTAATTCCCTCTTTACTTGTCACTCTGTAGCTATTTTATACAAAAAGTATTTAAGACAATTGTCAGGAAGTTTCCAGGATTATTGGAATTCTGTGAGATATAATTTGTATTTAATGTCAAACTCTGGTAAGAAATCAGGCCCCATTCTTCAAGAGACAATATTATCTCCATATATTTCCATGTTTAATAGCTACAATAAAATATCACTGTGAAAAGTTTCACTTATAGAGTTAAAGTAACAAGACAAATACTTATGTAGCTACTTCTAAAGAACCCCTGAGTCTATCTACCTTTCTATATCAGGATAATTCACAGGAAGCAATGTCTTTCAGAAATGGGGAAAAGGACACTTTAAATTTATAAAATATTCATGCACATGAACAAGTCTGAATGAAAAGTGTCTAATGCTATTTCTATGAAATCAGGTACAAGTAAGTCTTTTTTATAATCAAATTTCAATGCATACAGACAAGGGAGTGTTTCTATATAAGTAGACTGTATGAGAATGTTCGTAATTAAGCTATTATAAGATATTCTCCTGATACAAAGATCTCTGTATAATTTCCTGTTTCACGACAACAGAAAAATATTGACCTTTCTCAAAACATGTATTTAATGTTATTGTTTGAAGTTTATTGTAAATGGGAATTTTTTGTTTGTTTGTTTTGGGTTTTACGTCACATCGACATAGTATAGGTCATATCGCGACGTTCCAGCTTTACTGGTGGAGGAAGACCTCAGATGCCCTTCTGTGCATTATTTCAGGCACGAACGGGTACCTCAGTAGAACCACCGACGTTCCGTACACTAGCTGGATAGCTTACTCACATGAAAGAATCCAAAGTCCCTGTCTGGATTCGAATCCACAGCGGTGAGGGGCAAGTGGCGTAAATGGGAATAGTAAGCAAACTTCTAGTATAAAGTAATTAATCATAATATGTATAAGTACCAGGCAATTTTTACAGTAAGTCTTTGATCACGTAAATATCAAGTGATTCACTCATTTGTTTATGTTTCGAGACAAGCTCAAAAAATTAAGGATTAATCAAAACATCATACAATCTATAGCAAACAAATAAGTTATACTTAATCAAAACATCATACAAATCTATAGCAAACAAATAAGTTAACAAGTAAAGAATTTCTGCTAACTTTGCTTACAAAAAAAAATGGAAAGAGCAAAACAATATTAGGTATCCAGGGTGGAGAATATAAGATTAAATTATGGCAATAGGTTCACCCATTTTCCATTTGTCCATAAAAAATGAGACTAATATAAAAGCCTACCTCAAATCCTCGTTTTCCACGCCACCATATTGTATCCTCAGTTGGTGGCATATCTATCACAGATATTATATCACCCACCTAAAATATACAAATATTATAGTTATCATATATTTAATGAACATAAAAATTTATTGTCCCACTTCAAGCAGACTGTTCCATTTTATTGTAATGTGTACAAAATCAATCTTTTACCTAAACCTAATCTAGTAATTTGGACAGATTGATGTACATGCATTTGGGGTTTATGGGTATTTTCTTTGACCTCATTTCTCCGTAAAACTTTAATCGACATTTTATGTGGTTTCTTTCTTTTTAAGACTGAAGCACATAGCCCTGATATGCCACTTAAATGGAGTTGGGCATCCATTAATTTTGTTATTTTCTTTTAAAATAATACATAGAGAAACGGCTTATTATCCTTTTGTAAAAGAATGAAGTCTTTAATTCCACCTGCATTCTATTTACTGTATTTATATTCAATGTGTGGTCAGACCGAGGGAAGGCCTACATATAGTCACCTGTGTTGTAAATAAATAAGTGAAACAGACATTGAATAATGAATTTCATTATTGAAAATGACAATGCATTATGAAACTGACACTATATTGTGAATGTTCTTTTCTATGAATGGAATGCTTTTAGCCTGAAGGCTCACAGTATATGTCTGCAAGACATTACATAAGACAATTTACAAGAAAAAATAAAAACTTAAGTAATATACTTCCAGACTGTGTTTAACATATTATCCACAAAACACAATGAAACCAGCAGCTTTAGCTAATAAAGACAACATTTTTAAAGTCAATCTGTTCTGTAAGGTTCTTGTACTTTTTCAATGACAGGATTTTTTTTAAATTTCTATGTTTCACTTAAACTTGATATAGTCTTACAATCAATAACAAAGAATTAAATCACCTATTTCAACTCAAAAACTGTGTAAACAGGCTGAATAAATATAATGCTAACAGGATTTTCCATGACAAACAAATTCCTGTATTTTGACACACTTTTTGATTAATTGTCCTATAACAATTTTTGAAGTGTGCCACATAGACACCATACAAAGTTACAGGTTGTAAAAAGGGACAAATTAAAGTATAGGAAAGGAAATGGGTGCTTACATAGTTTAAACTATTAGAGTGACCTCCCATGAAAGATGTAAGTTCACTGTTCTGGGAGAGGGTTCTGGAGGAATTAATTGTGTATATGTTTATGGTAAGTGCATATAACTTTACCTATGAGAATATAAATATCATATGTTCAAAGACTGCCCACTCATATTTTCTCATTATTATCAAAGCAAAGTAGAAAAGGGACATAATTTGATAAAAGTGTATACCAATTATAATAGTGAACAAGAATACAAAGTTTGAAGTGAAGAGTTTTGACATGTGATCTTAGTAAATGGACCACAACAGAAAAGGTGAACATATGACAACAAAAGGGTCATGAGTTTATGACAAAAGCTCCTTAAGTGGAGCTCAAAATGCCTCAATCACAGAACCAGTAAAAGTTTCCAAAATGTTTCCATGCAGACCTCACAAGTTTTTTGACCGCTGGCTGCTTGTCATTTGTTAGAATCATGTAAGAAGTGACCCCGAAATATTAAAATGAAGAACAAAAAAAGCCTATCATTCATTGTAGATTTACCTCGAGAGATATTTCATCCGCAGCTTGTGCCGTGTACCGTTTTACTGCATGGGCTGCTGCTATAGCAGGAGTATTAATTCCGGAATCGTCTACAGCCAATATACGATTTCCTCTGTTGTCAATCTATAACAAGAACAAACAATATTACAAGTAAATTAATGTAATTTATTAATGCAACAATATTGAACAGTTTAAAAATTAAAAGTACCAAACCTTTCTGACAATTTTAAAGGATATTTTGCAAGAGTAAATCAAAATATTAAAGTACACATAGGTTTGATATCTATCACAAGGAGGTAAACATTATCTTTTGATGCTTCAGTTTTTATATATTAGTATGTTAAAGGCCCATTATGCCGCAGAAATGCTTTTACTTTTTATTTTAGTGCCAAATTATAGTTACTCATTTACCAATAACCTGAACAAGCTTTTGCTTCTGTTGCTTTTTGGCAATAAGTAAAAATAAAATGATTTAGTATTTTGTATAGAAGTCAAATTATTACTTTGTTTAAATTTTGCTACTTTATGGCACATTATTTCACATAAGGGCTACTTTCTTTAGGTTATAAACATCTAAAATACTCTAAAAACATTACTTAAACATTACAAAACTCATGTTCACCCTTTCTTCAGAATGAAAAATCTTATTCGTTTACGGGGCATAATGTGCCTTTAATTACAAAAATCTTGCAGTCAATACAGATCATTTTATCAACATACACGGTTTTCACCAAGAAACCTTAGTGGATGTTTATTACATTTAATTCATATTAGACTTTAGATGAGGCTCTCAATTTCAAACTTTTGACATTATCAGGAAGATATTACGCTAAGCAGAAGAATACTTCATGTTTTTATATATTATTTCAGTAAAATTCAATATTAAGTTCTTTTGAAGATGTGATATATAACTACTATTATATTGCTCATTACATGAAATAATTCTTACTTTATCAATAAAGCACACCAGATTAAGAAATACTGACTTTTATATAAATACTGTCATCACAACTATGTCATAATGGCCTATTCAATTTTATTACAAGAAAATTAAAAAGTTTTCTAAAAAATTCATCCTGAGAAATCTCTTACATGTACATACAAACTGACAATAAAAACTGCGAAAAATAATTTCACTACAAAGCAATGGGTCATTTCCTATCCTTGTAAGTGGTTTTATAGTGTTTAAAAGAATACATTAAACAATGTATTCAGAATGGCCAACTTCCTATCACATGCACTTCTACACTTGATGTTGTCTTTTGTTTGTTTATTGTAACTCCATTTAAATAGTACTTCGGTCAATTAGCAGTGGATATTTCCAGATCAAATATTTCAGAACTCGGCACCAATTTTAAACCGTTTCTCAACATGTAATTGCCAACTTCTACTCAAACTGACATATACTCCTATAAACATTTAGAATATTTTTTTTCAAAATAAACAGTATAACTCTTAAAATTGTACATATTCATAATTCTTTAAAGTAACCATGCTTTTTATTGACAGATATAAATTTCAAATGTGTGTTTATCAGATATACAAGATGAGCAATAATTAATGTAATACCTCAAGCCAATTAAGGACAGATCCACAATTCAACATACTACCAGCCAGAGATGAAAACCGTTTCAAATAATCTCCCAGTATACCATATATCTCCTGAAAATTGAAGTCAGCATAAAAATTGGAAACATAAAAATGTATCCTGATTTTTTAATCCTTAACAAGTTACATGCTGAATTTTGTCCAGCTTCTATTTTTAAGAACTTCGGGATATCAAGTTGAAAATTAAAGTTAGTCAGCCAATAGTACAGAGTCTGGCCAGACTGCACAGATATGCATGCTCACCTGGCTCAATACTGGTAATAAAGGCTTATGACTTTTGGCTCCACCAAGGTAAAGGTCTAAATCAAAATGTTTATATTCAAATGTGATTAATAGACATTGTTTTGTAACATACTTCTCGTTCAAATAATATGGTAATAACTCTCTCCTTAGATCCAACATTTTATGGAAACCCTTTACAAGTATGTTATGTTAATTCTGCCATACTGCATAAAATCAACCAGCTCTTCAAGACCAGTAAATATTTTATCTTCTATCAATCTTATACATGTAATCATCCATTTAAGCAAAGGACGATTATATTGGCAGCTCCATGCAATCATTACTGTTAATATTGTTTATACATTTAGACCCTCTTATTTGTTTATATAGTTAGGCCTTCACTCAGTACAGTAAGATATATTAAACCTGAAATCCCTGTTTTTAACTTTGAAAAGTTCCAAAATTCAAAGCTAGATGAGTCCATGACACAAAATAAGGGATGAAATAGTGTACCTGTTCTGTATTAACATCTGGTTCAATGAGTGCGATATTTGGTAGATGACTAAACTTGCGGTCAAATATACATCTGTGTAACTTCTGATCTAGCATACGGAAGTTCTGGAGAGTTCGTCTTACCAGCCATGTTTTATTGTTGGATGTTATTTTCATATAGAAGTATTTTGTTGACTCGCCATTATGATGATACTGTTCATTGTCTTCATCACACAAACAAACCTGGAAATTATAACACATTCATAGTCAATTAACAACATATATAAACATCTTAAAATCACCTTAAAATATTTTGAATCATCTTAACACATATACAATCAGTTGAAAACATATATAACCATTTTAACAAATACATTATCATCTTAACACATATATACTCATATTAACACACACATATATATAATCATATTAACACACATATATACTAGTAATCAGCTTAACACATATACAATTAACTTAACAGATACAAATGTACAGCAATATTCATGAAGGCTTATAAGTTACAACCATTTTGCATCACTTATAATATACCTTAATTTGTAGGACTATCATACAACCAAAGTGAATGTCAATTCTCAAGTATATTTTCTTCACAAAGTTATCATTCACAACAAAACAGCATGATCTTACTATGATTCCTGCCAAGAATTTGTAAACAATGACATTATATCTACAGTATAATTATGATATCACTTTTTTTTTATATCAAAAGCCATGGTTCAATCGGACAATTGATTATCTTGGAATTTTTGGATAAAAATAAAAATATCCTATATAAGACACAAATTAATTGTTGAAATGCATTCAGATTCAATGAGGAAGAAAGGAAAAAAAATTGCTGGAACTGTCATTTGATTCCAAATTGTTACAAGATTGATATCAAATTACAGACCTATTTTACGGACCAGTTACATCCAGCATCATTTTGATCCTTTAATGTTACTTCCTGATTGTCTAATAATGGTTTCCAAAAACTAAATCATTCTTATATCCTCTAAACTACTTAATACCATTGCATAGAACAAGTCCCGTCGATATTTAGAAGAAGAAAAAAACAAAAACTAAAACACTTAAACAAGACAGAAATCCTGATCAAATGAAAATCCCCAGCCAAGTTGCCATTTTGTTATTGTTTTCTAAATATAATACACACAATCATTCATAATTAGCCCACTTAGGTTAATTGAAACAAGTGGTTACCGCAATTAGACATATAAGTGCACCACATAAATTATATGTGTAGTGTTAATTGCATAAATTAGGAAGGTAAAACTTTGCTATATGAACTGGAGTAATATCAATATTTTGGAACATAGTCATTTATTTGATAATATAGTCAGTGCATTCTGGAACAGATAAATCAAATCATGGTATTTTTTAACCCAATTACATTAATGCTTCTAGTTCACATATACATGGTGATTTTTTTGTTGTCTCTCATTCTTTAAAAGCTAAACATAAGTATACCAATAAATTATTCATGATACAGCTATTACATAACTAAAACACTGCCTTTCTAGGAGGAATTGCAAAAAATCTATCTTTAACCTAAAGTGACCATGACCCTATTGGCCTAAAACTCTACCCAGGGTTACCAGTCGACAACTAACACTGCTGGGAATAATCGGCCTTTGCCACCAGTATAGGGTCAGGCCAGTTTGTACACCTGTTGAGGCTGACAAATTCTGTAGTGTTGAAGCTCAATTACAGAAATCCCTTAAACTTTTGCGTAATGGATCTGCCATGCTTTGAATAAGGAACAGTCCATTTTTAAAGTTTAAGGGATTAAAATATGAAATACAAAACTTGAACTACACAGTCAGACTGCATGGCACAGACTGACCTGGCTCTGTAATGGTTGAAAAGGCTGATCGCTTTCAGTTCCAGCAAATCAAGAGTTAAATCAAAAAGAAATGCAGCATTTTAAATATACCAGATACAGACAAGAGTGGAAATATTGGAGTAACTACAGTATTACTGTACAATAAACACAATTTCCTCTCATCATAATGATCACGCCTTTGTCTACATTTTTTTATATTATTGAAAAACTAAGATATGATTCTGATTTAATATACTCTTAACTACAATATGGCCATTGGCATCTACCAAACAAAAGAAGAGCTATCAGAGAATAGCATGCTCAACCATCATAATAAAATATGGACTATGACTTAATTTCATAAAAATAAGTTCACAAAACTCCTAGAAATCAATGGTTGAGTTATTAGTATTAGTCAGTAACCTTCATTGCTGAAGTTCTGTGTGAAGTCTCAATTGAACACCTTATGAGGTTGTAAAGAAAGAACTTTCACTAAAATCCTAAACCCGAATTTTTTTCACATTCTAAAAGACAATTTTTGACAAATTATATAGCCAAGTATATGTGAACCTATATAACCCAAGCTTCATTTCCAGTTTCAGAATATGCTAACATAGGCATATAACAGACTCAGGTATGGGGAAACTTTGCTCCAGCCCTGCAATGATGCACCTCCTCTAGAACAACAATATCTTACCTGTAGTGAGCTTATATCAACAGTATCGTAGTGAAAATGTGCACAATCTTGTAACTTTGGAAATCTTGTGTTGTCATCCGTTAAACTGCAAATATCAAGAAATATTTTTATTAACAAAGAACACAACAAAAGGATTTGAACAATAAAGTAGCATATTTTTCTATTTACATGGACCAGTGACTTATTTTTTAAAGTCTCTCCCTTTTAAAGCATTATAAGTTCGGGTCCAACTGGGGTAACAATGTATTTTTCTCATTGACATTAGTAATGCTTATTTCAGAAAAGTAAACAAAAACATAAAAAATTTAAGCTGAAAGTACCTGTTTTATACTAAAGAGTGAATAAACTTCTCAAATCATAATCCTTGCTACATACTAATTTATTAGTCGTCTCTATCTATGAGAATTAACTTTTCATTAATAAGTGATCATAATGTAAGAATTCATGAAACAAAGAGAGATATTAAAGTTTAACAGTATCATGTGTGATAATGTATAAGATATCATGTTAGACACAGAGTGTAAGACAAACAGATATCAGTCATCACAAAGCACAGTTTAAATGTCTCCAGATATACAGACATTCAATATTTTTATCAAAGCAGAAGTATACATGCCTAGCCCTTCTGACCAGACCTCAGTGGACTCACATTTATACAAATCTGACCTATATTTGGAAATGATATATTATGTAGTTGATGTTTCCATGAAAGAACAAGCACATAACGATTACAGCGCACTGTCTGACAACTACGACACAATTCATATCACCTGCTCTTTAACAACTTTGTATCCTGAATTTGTCTTGCGTTTTATTTTCGATTAATTTATAAAAGTTCAGCAGCAAATAATTAAGCCTGTTTTGTATGTATGGTTAGGCAGTCTACTGGCTATACCTGCACTATACCTTTACTATTGACCTTATATTATCCCACCAGTCCATATTATCCTAATAGAACGCAATACATGATTTCTAAACTTATATTTATTCCTGTTAAACAAGCAATTATCATAGTATTGCAAGCAATCCATAAGTCCCCTACCGGTTAGAACCCCATCAACATTCTGAAGGGCCATTGGCCATTCACTAATGTTTCAATTTTTCTCTATTTTAAGAAAATTTGTTGGAAAAGTTCTTTAAAAGTGATCACAGGATACAGTTTTTATGAACAGACAGACAGACGGACTGAAAGACACTCTAAAGTTAATATTTGAAACATCCCTGTTACCAAAATTTACCATTTTAAAAGCAAAATTCTTAAAGAGGAGATAACTCTTGAATTAAAGATGCAATTTCATAAAAATGTTCAGCTCTTTTTGACTAATCACAAATATTGTTATATTTGCCATGTTTTAAGCCTATTTGTTGCCAAGGCAACTGATATTTTTTCAAAATAGGAAGAACAGATAAGGCATGCATAATCTCAAGACTGCTATCTACCCATATGTCAAGTTTCATAAAAATATTTCCAGTACTTTTTGAGTTATAACTGGATTCAGTTTATGTGTAAAATTTGCCATATTTTCAGTCTATGTGTTGCCATAGCAACCAGAATTTTCAACATAGGAAGAAAAGAAAAAAACGTGCATATTTTCAAGACTGCCAGCTACCCATATGTCAAGTTTCTTAAAAATATTTCCAGTACTTTTTGCGTTATCACTGGATCCAGTTTATGTGTAAAATTTGCCATATTTTCAGCCTATTTGTTGCCATAGCAACCAGAATTTTCAACATAGGAAGAAAAGAAAAAGACGTGCATAATCTCCATTCTGCCATCTATCCATATACCAAGTTTCATAAAAATATTTTCAGTACTTTTCAAGTTATCGCGGGATCCAGTTTTGCGGACGGACGGACTGACTGACGGACTGACAGACGGACGGACGGACGGACGTACCAAAAATTGATGTTTATGAGGCAAATGAGCTCATAAACACCACCTGGACCAACGTCCATAAGCAAAATAAGCTCATAAAAACAAAAAATAGCTCTTAATTTTAAATTTTATGAGTTTATGTTCTTTATTTAACTACGGAATGAAGCTCATAATAATCAAATGTTGGCTCGGACAGACGGACGGAGGGTAAACCTAAAGTCCCCTCCGGTAAACCGGTAGGGGACTAATAAATTAATTGTATCATATCAATTTCAAAACACGAAGATCCCTCGAAAAGCAATTAAACAATTTTGTGTAAATTGCAAACTTTTCATGAACTCAGTTTATGAGAGGCAATGCCCACAAGCCCTTACCGAAGGATTCTTCAATTTTCAACACAAAGTATTGGGATTAAACAAGTCGACCACACATTTCACCATGGCTTTATATTTCTTTTTGTACCACGATATAACATAAAATATGATGTAATTTGTCTTGTTGAAGAAAACAAACAAATACCTGGACAATCTTCTAACTCTCATGCTACTGTTACTAGCTGTGCTGATGGGGCGTGAGGCTCGAACTGTTTCCTGACTGTCATAGGAAGGTAACATTCCACGCTGCAAATAAACAAATATGTTTTAGCCATTACCCTGCTGAATTTGGACTTGCCCTGAAATCTAAATTCTAAATCTGGAACAGACCATTCCAATCTTAAGAGATTTCAATAACGAAATACAAAAATGTACAAAAATTTAGCTACAAACAGCATAGAGCATGGTAAGACTGCAAAGATCATGTCTAGACTGGCTTGGTTCTATACTGGTGTCAAAGGCTAATTTAATGCTTTCTGTTCTAGGCAGTTAAAGGTTAAAGACATGACATGGTAACCAGAGCTATAATGGGAACATATAACAAGAGCTGTCACAAGAGACAGCGAAGCTCGACTAATAAAATACTGGACGCAGTAAGGAGGACAAAACTATGAAAGAAAAATCAATTATGTATAATTATGTATTAAGTTACAGTAAAAAAACATTTGTTAACATAAATTCCAAGATCAAGGGGAATAATTCTAGAAATAGTCACACTAGAGTTATGAACCTTGTCACACAACATGTGTGTAATGATAAGAAATATATATTTGAAGTTTGAAGTAGATACCTTAAAAAGTAAAGAAGTTATAATATTTCTTTAAGAAAATCCTAAGTTCAAAGAGAGATAAATCTGTAAATATTGCTTCAAGAGTTATGAACATTGTCACATAAAATGTAATTGATGATAAGGAATAAGTATTTGAAGTTTGAGGTAGATACCTTTAAATCTAAAAAAGTTATAGTAAAAAATAATATTTTTCAAGGAAAATTCTAAGTTCAAGGGGAGTTAAATCTGAATATATTGGTGCTAGAGTTATGAACCTTGTCACATAAAGATGGGGATGATGATAAGGTACATATAATTTGAAGTATGAGCTTGATCCCTTAACAAATAAAGAAGTAACAGTAAAAAAATAGTATTTTTTGAGGAAAATTCTAAGTTCAAGGGGGAGATAAATCTGAAAATATTTGGTGCTAGAGTTATGAACCTTGTCACATAAGATGGGGATGATGTTAAGGTACATAAATATTTTGAAGTATGAGGTTGACCTTAAACAAATAAAGAAGTAAAAGTAAAAAATAGTATTTTTTGAGGAAAATTCTAAGCTCAAGGGGAGATAAATCTGAAAATATTCGGTGCTAGAGTTATGAACCTTGTCACATAAGATGGGGATGATGATAAGGTAACATATATTTGAAGTATGAGGTTGATCCCTTAACAAATAAAGAAGTAACAGTAAAAAATAATATTTTTTGAGGAAAATTCTAAGTTCAAAGGGAGATAAATCTGAAAATATTGGAGCTAGAGTTATGAACCTTGTCACATAAGATGTGGTTGATGATAAGGAACATACATTTTAAGTTTGAAGTTGATACCTTAAGAAATAACAAAGTTATAGTGAAAAATATTTTACTGCACCAAAACTTTAATCTGAAATCTGGACGCGGACGCCGGGGCGAGTAGGACAGCTCTCCATATACTTCGTATAGTCGAGCTAAAAAGTGAGTCATTTAACATAATTGATGGTGTACGTAATTATTTCAGTACATCATGTTTTGCTGAATTTCTGATCCATATGTTTCATGTAAATTTGAACAGAATAAATGCCAGTGATGAAGCAGTTATTTATGTAGTCATGACAGATCTTCTATATTTAGACTTGTATTTTTATAATGGTGTATATATTATTCAGTTAATAAGAACTAGAACAAGATCGTCATTTACCTTGGCATAATATTCTGTGCCTGTGCCTTCTGAACGAACTGTTGCATTGCTGCCTTTTCTGTAAGGGAGGTCATCCTCTTCTAACTGAACAGTTCTAAAATAAGATAGACAACTCTAATTATCATATACATAAATCAAACAAGTAAAGTCTCACTGAAACAAGATAGACAACTCTTGATATATTTCATTTTCTTTTTTGGTTGGTTTTTACAACGCATTATCACAGTATAGGTCATATGGCGACTTCCTCACATGAAAGAATCCAAAGTCCCTCTTAAGATTTGAACCCACAGTGGTGAGGGGCAACTGGTTTTAAGTCAACAAACTTAACCACTTGGCCACCGAGCAGCAACTTGTGGTAAATATAGTTATATACCAATCAAACAAGAAAAGTAATTTTAGTGTTGAGTTAACACATTGTCACATACAACATTCTGAAACAAGAGAAACCATTCCTTGATTTATTTATATGAATAATACCCCTGTGCAAAACAAGTCAGTCAATTTTGATCAGATACAAGTATTCTTGCAAAGCTCATTTTCAGGAAATGTGTATAAAACCTACTGTATAATATATAGTAGATATGAAATGTAAATCATATTTTATTTTGAGATACAACAAACTGAAATGCAGCAGTTCAGCTGCAGCAACAAAACTTATCACCTTATTGTAACATTCTGTCTAAAAGATATGTAATCTTATAGATGCACAATTCTTATAGATTACCTGTATAAGAATTCATCAAATTCTCATTTAAGGATTCCCTTGGGCTAGAAGCAGCAGCTTTGCAAATTCATATCTAGAAATTGTTAACACCTTAAAACTTTCTCACAGGTTTAATATTGATGCAAGTAATGCAAATGTAAGTGATGTAAATTAAACAAGTGCAATGTTCAAATGAATGCAATGCCCCTAGGTGACCTTGACCTTTGACCTTGTGACCTGTAAATGGGTATAGTAGGTAGAGCTTATCCAGGTCCATACTCCTGTGAAATTTGACGGCTCTATGTGGAAAGACTACCATGTTATGGTCAAGGTTAAATTTTTGTGATGTGAAACGAAAAACGGACTGACCACAAACAATATGCCATCCCTCTCTATTGACAAAGGGTGGGGATAATACCTAGTGTTATTTGTTTTTTAACACTTAAAAATAAATACAGGCACTGTTACTGTTTTGTTCTATTCTGATTATTTTCACGCATTTTGTCTGTACCAGATTATATAATTTTCAAACAACTTTTAGTTTAATCTCCCTTAAAAGGAAGCAAGACAGTTTGCTTGTCAGTCATAAAGATTACATCCATGTAAATCATACAGGATGGGAAGTAAAAGGAGTAGCAGAAGTCCTATACTTCAAGGCAACAAGTCTGGTATGTCACAGAGATGCAGAATTACAAACATGTTTTTCAAAAGAACAAAAGTGGAAGGCACAGAATGGATATCTTCAGTAGGTAAGATTATGATACAAAGATCACTGGAGAATGACCTTGTCATGCAAAGTCTAAAGGTGAATCGGAACTTGTCACTAATCAAGCAGGAAAAAAAAGTCAATTCAGTACAGAAGGGTCACACAATAGTATAAGATATCTAGACCATTGAAATGATACACCAAAACCCATGCCAATACCTTAAATCAAACCATGTATAGTTACGCGGTGGACGACGGCAAGAATCTAGGTTTTTACGTCTTGTCTGTGGACTTCTATATAGGTTTTGAACCTCAAACATGGCAAACTACACTTCTGGTTCCCAGCATTAGTGCAAACTAACAGGAAATAAAAGACAGTCACTTAAATTTAACTAAAAGGAATTTGAAAAAACAAACTGCCACATCTTTCAACTGACCATAGTATAAGCATGATTTATTCTGCGAAACTATGACAACTTTGTTCTGCATTACTGATAGTGTAAGACCAGTGTTGTTTACCTTTATGCATTAAATTCAATAAAAAAACATTTTAAAAATTTATGTGCAAAAAACTAAATTAGACATATAGGCAGGTAGTAACATTTATAAGACAGTGATTGTTACAGTACAGGTTCTCCTCTATAGGTACTAAATATTACTAAAAGTTTTGACAATTAAACATCACCTAACTTTACACAAAACATTTAATATCCCATCTTTTTCCTTTCATTTCCTTGAATTTATTAGATATTTTCAAGCAACCTTTATTCCTTTAACATCAGGGATAACACAATTTTAAGTCAGGTGTTGATATTTTCCTACATCTTGTTCTGATCTGCATTAAAAATCTGCTACATTTTATAGGCAGCATTAAACTACAACGTATTTAAACAATGAGGAAATGCAGCAGTACCAGATACAGCCTCTCTATAATGTGTGCCATATTACTGCTAATTAATCATATTTCAAATAGTAAACATGCTTGTCTCTCATTAATATTATAACCATATGTTCACCAGTAGAACTTTTGCCAAGCCAATAATACAAGTGGTGTATTTTTGTTCCAACATTTCAATAGTAAATCATAGGGATGAGTACTCCATGGCACTTTCAGGAAAATTACAGGGTAAACATATTATTGTAGTGGTAAATTTATACATTAAACATATTCTTTATTCCTTACACATTTTAATTTGATCACAGCAAAGGAATTTATTAATCAGTCAAATATCATTACATAGAACAGTTATAGTCAAACATGTGAACAAAGGTCATCCAAGGGAAAGACCAAACATGACCTTTACAGACAGGTGGTTTTTATTCAGAGGTTACTTTGTGGTCTTTTTCATATATGAAGGGTTATCAACAAATGACATCTATTTAAAGGGCGGTCTTTATTTGGAGGTAGTTTTTAACTTATTAAGTTTGAATGACTGCATGTAATTGGTGAATCTGGAAAATCAACGTCTTCCTACAGAGTCACATTTCTGATATGGCAAATTTTTTAAGTCACTAAACAATGAAGCAACACATTTCTACAATGTGTCAATTAAATCTAGTTTGTCATACAACATAATCTATGACACTGACAAATGATAGGTTGTGTGACATTGTGTGTGAAGTGAAACAAGTAAAATGTTGATTTCTAAATTCTTTCAAAGTGCACCATGTTGGTTTATAGGTCAAATAATTCATACCAGTATGTCAAATTAAGACTTTGTACTTTGACAGCATTAATACTATTCCAAAGAAATGAAGAAACAAATTATTATGAAGAAATAACTTTAATGTAAAAAATATTGATGTTTCCTTTTTTATCACTACTTCCCATTTTATCTTCATTTCCCATTGTAGCCTAGCACTCTACTTTCAATTTTACATTCACTTTCCATTTACATTTATTTCCATTATTAATCATTTTACTTGGGAAACGGACAAAAGCACTCCCATCCAAAAAATGACAAGGCGGACATTTAAAGCCCTCCAGTGAAATTGACAGGGCGGACAGGAGGGCTTTTGTCCGCCTTGTCATTTTTGGACGGGAGTGCTTTTGTCCGGTAGGGCTTTAGTGTTACACACATTTTACTTCCAATTCCCATTCATGTTTTCATTTACCTACACTTAAGAAACTTGCAAACTTTTGCCAATGAAGCATCATTGCAACTTCCTAATTTACCTCCTAATATAAAATAAGCATGTTTAAATCCAACTAGAGGATGCTTTTGTAAAAAAGCGCATGTCTCCCCCACTGCAACGGTCGCTGTGACCTTGACCTTTGACCTACTGACCATTAAAACAATAGGGATCATTTGATTAAAAAGACCAATCATCCTATGAAGTTTGAGGGTTGTAGGTCAAAAGGAACTCTAGTTATCATCCGGAAATGAGAAATTGACCAACGGTCACTGTGACCTTGACCTTTGACCTACTGACCCCAAAAACAATAGGGATCATCTGCTCTATAAGACCAATCATCCTATGAAGTTTGAGGGCTGTAGGTCAAAAGGAACTCTAGTTATCATCCGGAAACGAGAAATTGACCAACGGTCACTGTGACCTTGACCTTTGAACTACTGACCCAAAAACAATAGGGATCATCTGCTCAATAAGACCAATCATCCTATGAAGTTTGAGGTCTGTAGGTCTAAAGGAACTCTAGTTATCATCCGGAAACGAGAAATTGACCAACGGTCAGTGTGACCTTGACCTTTGACCTACTGACCCCAAAAACAATAGGGATCATCAGCTCTATAAGACCAATCATCCTATGAAGTTTGAGGGCTGTAGGTCAAAAGGAACTCTAGTTATCATCCGGAAACGAGAAATTGACCAACGGTCACTGTGACCTTGACCTTTGAACTACTGACCCCAAAAACAATAGGGATCATCAGCTCTATAAGACCAATCATCCTATGAAGTTTGAGGGCTGTAGGTCAAAAGGAACTCTAGTTATCATCCGGAAACGAGAAATTGACCAACGGTCACTGTGACCTTGACCTTTGAACTACTGACCCCAAAAACAATAGGGATCATCTGCTCAATAAGACCATTCATCCTATGAAGTTTGAGAGCTGTAGGTCAAAAGGAACTCTAGTTATCGTCCGGAAACGAAGAATGGACGGACGGACTGACGGACTGACGGACGGACGGACTGACGGACGGACGGACGGACAGGGCAAAAACAATATGTCTCCCCCCGAGGTGGGGGAGACATAATTAAAATTTCAAATTTGGCTGCAGGGTAATCTTCAGTGGCAAGCTGTGAAATCAATTCATGGAGAACAAAAAAACTTAACATATCTTTATCATATAGGAAGATAAAAGAGCTGTATCTTTTCTGTAAATTTTATGTTTTCTGCCTAAAGTACATATTTATGATGATATAGCCAATGTATTTATTTTTAGGTATACCCTCCACTTGTAAATATAATAGGAGCAGCTACCAACTAATGAGTAATGAGTTATCCTGAATTCTTTATCAATACTCACCATATATTCTGCAAGCAATTGATCACTTTTCAAATGGAATTAGAATTACTTCTTAGTAACTTGCCATTGTAACATTTCAGAACTTTTCATATGTATCACTTGCAGTTAGTAATTGACAGCTTGTCTATTGTAGCTTGTCTAATGTATCATTTGAAAATAGATGACAACTGCTCTTAATTATACCAGCATATCT